ACACAATAAAGGAGATAATGCAAATTGTTGGTCCTTGACACTGGTGACCTCCAGAAACTTCCCAAAACCGATGATATGCTATCATCAGTCCAGCTATCTGCAGATAGAATGAAAGAATGATTTGTGCACATGAAGATTCTGAGACTGAATGTCAGATCCTGAAAAGCACAATTCAAAATGTATAGAGGCAGACTGGGTGCAAAATCATACATAATATGACTGACTTGAAAAGAAAGAGAGTATAATGAACTCAAAATAAGCAATAGAGACTGCCCATCACTGTGTGCTCAATTTGCAAGTGCTGCATGACATAGTCATTTCTCCTGGATTAATTACTGAAGAGAGGAAAGTAGAAGTATATCTGCTTCCCCCTGTCTGAACTGAAAAGGAAGCATGTAGAAAAACACACAGTGGGTGTACACAAGCTCCAAGTGTGGAATAAAGCTCTCAAGGAGACATCATTCCAGTCAGTGTTTGGGGTTGGGATAGGCTGCCTGGGTCAGTCTCCTCCAGACTTCTCCAAACTTCTTTCAGAGCAAATCCGGGTTATGGACCCTGTAAAAGGTTACCCCTCCTTTTAACTCCACTGAGTGTCATTCAAGATCTTCCAGCATGTAATCTGGAGCAAGCTTTCCAATGGAAATGTTGTTCCGAAAACATCAGGTGACAGGATGAAGATGTCTCCTGTCACACACTGTTTGTTACCTAGTAGATATAGTAGAGCTAGATCAATACAGATTTACCAAGTGGGCTGGGAAAGAGTTGGAGGTACATGCAATTTGTATCAAGCCTGTCAGATTTCAAATGAGAAGCAAGAACAAAAGACACTGAGGATTTCAAGGGAAGAGCTTTGCTACTGAGGAGGTTTAAGTAATCAAATGTAACAGAACAGTTTCAAGACCAGGCTTGAAACTGAAACACCTGATCCTAAATCCAGAATGTAATCTAACAGGCAACATTGACTCGCAGGATTGCTACTCTCCCACTCTTCAGGAAGTGGATTTTGTCTTTCACTTTGTGTTGGCACAAATACTCCAAACCTAGGTGAATGAATCAGGGAGCAGCTGGAAGACTTAGATAATATCTGGACTATGCTCATATCCCGTACAATTTCTTGTTTTATGGGAACAAACATGATGGCAAGAAGAGGGGGAAGCCCTGGGGCAGTATGGATCCAGGTCCAGAGGAGTCACTTTGCAGCCCCCTTTCACAACTTTAAATTTTTTAAATGCACAAAGATTATGTTAAGTACCAGGTTAAAAAAGAATAAAAAGAGGATGACACTATTTACTGGAAGACATGATTTTCTTTCACGTGCATATATGTGTCTAAGATCTTTTCTGCCAGAGGAGTGTCATGCAACAGGTATATCTCTTCATTGCTTATTTTCTTCCTTTCCTTTCTGGTTCTTTGTCCTTCTAGGTTTGTTTCCCTTGCTAAACTGTTGTGTAGCTCTGGGGACTCTGAAAAATGCAGCTCCATGAGGACGTGAAGTTCAGAGTGGTAGATATTTTTATAGAAGTACAGTCACAGTTCCATGGTCAAGGCTAAACTGTACCCAGAGGGGATATCCAAACTCTTCATTAAACATAAAGTTGCTTATCTTCCCTATGCTTGTTGGGAGACAGGCAAAAAAAGGTGCGTAGATGTTTAATGATGGGGTGGTTAACAAATGACTGAAAGAAACCATTCCCTATCTCATCCTTCTCCATCCCCCATCCTTCAGACGCCTTACTGAGGATCTGCTGCTGTCACACATGAGCTACCAGGCTCAGCACTAAATTGAGGAGGTAAAATACAGTGACTGTAATAGGAAGGCGCTCAAACTATTTGATCAAAGGGTGCCTCGTACCCTCTCATTCAGTCACTGTTAAGCAAAGATATGCAACATTCTTGAGGATTTTCAACTCAAGCCTTCTATTACCTTGTGACTCATTAAAAATGGTCTCCTTAAGAAATGTAGCATTTGGTGCATTTCTTGTCTAAATGAGCTTAGAGAAACAGCTTATCAGTCTTCTAATTTATTATTAACATTCACTAGAATTTCAGAGAGAGTTGCACACCAGAGGAAAATAGCTCTCATACCTAATGGCTGAGATTAATGTGCAGTTATCAGTATATTAGGAATTTAGCTTTGCACTACAATACTCCTTTTCATTAATTGCTACACTTTTCTGTTTTATTTCCCTAAGAACCTAAGTTAGAATGATACATTTGGGTTCAAAACTCACATAGTTACAATTGTGAATTTTAAGGGTAATAATCACATCTTTCAGATAGCACATTCTCACCTTTTTTGGAAAGGCACTCAGGGGAGAATCACAGAATGCTGTCTTCTCAAAAACCTCATACTGCAAGGAAATGACATTATAAGACTGAACCACCTCCCCCTCCACCCCGAAGATGGAGGAAATGTTAAGGCAGTGATTTACAGTAAAATATATTATAGAGATATTCCTATTATTCAAAACCCAAAAATTATAAACCCTGAAAATCCAGATAAAGCATAAAGAAATTAAAAGTATCTAAACAATCATAACTAAGCTTGGAGAAATGTCTTCTAAATCTCTAACTAGCTAAAAGTCACAACATTTGTTTGCATAATATGTCTGTGTTTGTATATATATACACCAATACACACATGCTTTTGAAGATGAATCATACTTTTCCACTTTATAGTGTGCAGCTGAAAGCTCATGAGAAACCTCTCTCTGTTCTGCAATGAAGGGGAAAAAGTACAGCATGCCTTTAAAAATCTCTTAATCATAACGAAGTCCACAAATGTAAAACTATTTCTATACAAACTGTATGTTTTTGTCTGGTTACAGTCACTACAGTAACACCCATATAGCTGTCAAAAAGCTCATCTCCTGGAAAAAAAGAACAGGGTAAAGTATAAATTAGAAAGCAATATACATACCAGATACCTGCCACACACCACAGGAGCCTCAGCAGCAAGTTATGGACTCTGACAAAAAGTCATTACAATGAGCACGCTGGAGGCTATGGCTGTTTCAGCTGCACTCTGGTACAAGTCTGGAGGGGGAACAGTCAGAAGAACAGTCGGAGACTGAAGGCCTCTGTGACAGGGACAGCTGCATGGTGATGTGAGGACTGCAGATTCCTGAGCCGTGTCTCTCTGCCCTCTGAGAACAAGAGGATGTGCAACTGAGCTGAGGGAGCATATGCACAGTGCGCAAGGAGTCAGCCAGACCTGGCTCTGCAGCAGTTTCAATCCCATGATAGGAACTTTCTTAATCCCTGATGCCATAACAAACCTTGTCTATCCAAAAAGCAAGGTTAAACATGTTAAGCAGTTACTAGATCAAAATGGGATCCTGGCAGCACATTAGGACAACAGCATGGAAATGCCTACACAAACGATGAACTTCAGAGGCCGCTTGATAGTAATGATCAGTCTGCCAAGTAGAGGCAAGAAAGGTTGCTCATAGGCAGTAAGGAACACCAGGTTTTGTAGCCTGGAATGAGACCTGCACTGAGAGAGCTTAAACCCCAGCCCCTTTTGTGCCCTTAACAGCTGCACTTTCTCTGAATGACTACAATGTTTGTTACCTGTACAGAACTGAGATGTAATATTTATTACAGAGGTATTGGTTGTAGCTCCCACAGGCAAAACTGATGTGTTATACCTTGCACTCTGTGTGCACATTAGACTGGAAAAGCAAAGTATATTATCCCCAAACTTTAGCATTACTTCTCTGAGTAAAAGATTCACATGATAAGAGATTATCTGGCATCCGCTAAATATTTCCTGGTACAAGAGTCAGACTGCTTAATCTCAATTTGGATCAGTGGCCTAATCCCATTTTGCATTAATTTCCCAAAAGTGCACATTGAGGCAGAAGTCTTGTTCTGCCTGGGAATAAAAAGAACCTGAGCCTGTCTTCCTCTCACACGCTATTGTTCATATTCACCTGATTTCCTGACAAAAAACAGTGAGCCAATTTCCCTAGGAAATACTGCATTTCAACCAGTTTTTGCCGGACTGCAAACTTCTAGCTGATGACTGAAAAACAGGCTGAGTTTTCCCAACTTCTGCTGCCAGAATCATGAAATCCTTTAAAAAGCCACAGCCTCATGGTCTTGAGAGGAGAAAACCAACAGAGCTTCAACCACTGTCAGTTTTGGCCAATGACACCATGCTGGAAACCAGCATTTGCAAGAAGCGCCCAAACTGAGACTGCACATGGCTCCTTGCAGTGCTTCTTGTTTCCCCGGCATCCAAGGAGGAGGAACAGACTGAAGCCTACAGGAGCCATTCTCACTCCTGGGCCTACAACCAGCTTTCTTGTTAACTTCTCATTTGCTCAAAAATCTCAATATCAGACTTACACAGACAGGAAACATTTTCATTTTCTTTGCCATTGTTAATGGATAATTCTGTCATGGTAGTTAAAAAGGCGTATGTGGTATGAGTCAGCAAGAGAAGGTAACACACATGGAGGACCTGGAAATTCTTCCTTGCTCCTTTCTGCCCATCTTCTGAAGAGTCTGGTTTTGGTTAACCAAATATCAGGTAGTGTTTCAGAGAAACAACCAGCTGGGCTGAGGCACCATAGCTTGTCCCAGGAAGAGAAGGGTTCATTGCTCCACTTGCTGCTAGTGAGGAAGAGTTGGGGCTGGCAGCCAGTTAAGACAGCAAGACAAACTCTGAGAAGGAGAAAGTAGCTTAAGGGAGAAATTGAGCACCACGGAGATCACATGCTTCGCTGTCCATCTCAATTATAATTCTGCTTTAAAATATAACTTAATGTTACACTTCTGAAATACAGTGAATATTCTAAGTCAGATCCACTCCTAGAGCCAGCACTGTGACAGAGTCCAAATGATGATTTTTAATCAACTGGAGGCTGAACATGCATGTAGTGAGCACATTTAAGAGAGATGCTGTAATGATCCCAGAAAATTATAAACTTCAATGCAGTTTAGATCTGCATGCTAATGAAGAGATGCCTAGATGGGATTTGGGACAACTCAGCTCAAAAGAAATAAAAAATGTCAATTTATTGCAGTGTAGAGTTTTGTTATCCAATTACACAAAGTATTAAAGCATCTCATCATTATTAAAGCATTTTTGTCACTTATCTTGTATAGATTTTTGTCTAAATTTAACCCTAACTCTTTCTGCTTTATGGTAATTCTCCTGGGAGTAATTACTAAATTTCCACAGCAGTAATTTGGGAAGCATAAGAGCAGGTAACCTCAGCCTTGCTCTCTCCATCATAATGAAGATTCTGTCTAGAAATGTACCTTTTCTCCTTCACATTATTTAAAATATGACACATGATCAATAACATGAAACTTCAAGAAACTTTCTCATATGATAATTCTATTGATTTTTAAAAGAAATAATTAAACTAACTGTTAAGACCAACTTCATCAATACAATCTGACTCCTTTGTTTCCCCCTCCTGAGCAGGACAAATCGATCAGGACCTGCTGGTTAACCAGTTTCCTGAAGCTTTTGCACCATACTGACAACACACTGCACAGCCATTTTACACCCTGCTGTTCTCTGCTTGCTCTTGCATCCACCTGTACACATCCCCACAGCTCCAGATCACACTCTTTCCCTGAATCTTCCCCATTGCATTGTATATTCCCCCAAACCTCCACCTTCATTTTCTTTTACATGCTCCCTCAATTTGCCTCTTCCTACACCACCAGGCTCCTTTGCAGAATTCAATTATAGGAAAGACATATTGTATTCTTCACAGATAACAGAATGCCAAATTGCATAAAACGACAAATTTCTTTCCACTTGGACGACAGAAGCATACCTGCGAATTAGCACCTCTGCTCAGACCATATGTTAACAACAGGATTTTACTACTAACTAGTTCTCTGCAAGGCAAAGCAGTCCCCTGGTAGAAGTTGAAATGGCAATGCCAAAAGCCTCCCGGGCTTCCTCTGAAAGCAAAGCAGCTTTTCCATAGGGGTGACTGGCTTTCATTTTCTCTTAATTCTGATACCCTTAAGACCAGTTGCAATAAAATCTCTCCCCAAGTGAACTTGCATATACCTCAGCTCCCCTTTCGCTTCCAGTGATCGCACCAACGCCCTCATGAAGCAGCTGGTGACTTGTACTGCCACCAAGAGCTGCTCCTGCACCCAAGTGGTTAGAGCGAGGAATCTCTTCTACGGCAGAGAGACTAAAACTGGCAGTATGGGATTGGCTAGTGAGGAGGTACACACGGGTGGAGAAGGGATTCTTTACAGTTTCTTGATGAAGGTCATGTAAAATGTGCATGGATTTGGTTGTATTCAAGGGACACTGCAGCATATGTGTAGGTTCCAGATGATACTCTGGTTATCCACCTCTGCAATGACTGAGAAAAAGCCTTCAAAAAATGCAGGTTGATAAGACTCAAATTTAATACACTCTGCAAAATGCACTCTTCTTTACCACGACAATGGAACAACAGATTCAAAACATTAGCAGCAGCTTATGCTGCAGAAATGGCTGAGTGCTGTGCCAGAACTACAGAATGTGGAGCAATGCACAGCAAATCAGATATATGTGGCACAGTAGGGCACAACAGCCCTAGCAAATCCATTACTCCCCACTCAGCAGTCACAAACACTTCTTTACTGGCAGAAACTTTCATCCATAACATTCCTAAGATCTAATGGTGTCTGCAAGTTGCAAGATATTTCTGAGAGGAGTAGGAACTACTGCGTGCCTCCATTTGACAATGTTATTTCAAATTCAAGACAGGTTACAGATAATTTATAAATCTCCCTGGAAAATAATACTCTTTCTGGAGGTGTTTCTATCTATTCAGTAGCCATGTATCTTGATGGCTTAACAAACTACTTTCTACAAATTGTTTTCTTTTAAAAATAAGTTTCAAATATGCATTTCAAAGTGTTATTTATAGTAGGTACAATTATTAACTTGGCTAGTTCACGGGCAGATGTGCAGACCAGCACACACATGTAGCTCTCAGTTAATGTTATTTTAAGCCTCTCACATAATTCCAAAAGCCAATTTTTGTCTCAGTTCACATGGCTCCAACAGGTGTAATTGAAACCACAAACGTGTTACAGACCAGAACCACATCAAAAGTATTCATCAGTTCTGTACCCACACTTAACATGCCTTCCTGCTAACAATTTATACTGTATGTACCACCGTAATGCATGAGCACCAAACAGATTCCATTAGCGGATTCCCTTAACCAGGTGAAACTTGATATACTATACTCTGTAAAAGCAGTTACTTTTCATCATGTTTGAAAAACAAAATTATAGCATGTCTTGGCTGCCCTTCAAGTGCCCAATTCAAACCCCAGTGCATGCACCCAGCTTCCACTAAAAGCAATGACAGACAAAAGACACTGTCCATTTGGCCTTCACTAAGTGAAATGAAACACTGAGAAGAATAAAAAAAAAGAGAAACCCCCCAGATTTTGCTCAAGGTTACATAGCAGCAGAGACAGAGGTCGACCTCAGGAACCCTGACTACCTTCCCCACATGCTTCTGACTACATTTACTCTGGGGAATTAGGGTAAACTGGGGAAGAGGCAGTGATGTTGATTAGAAAGCAAAATGGATTAGGACGCAGTCACATTACAGTGGGTCAAAGACAAGACAATACAGGAAGAGAAAAGAAAAAGAAGGAAAATTGAGAATAACAGATGAAAAATACTGAAAGCTATCATCAGAAAGGAAGTATAATGTGATGCAACAGCAAGCATAAATTACAGGACATGCACTGATGAGAGGCATTTTTCAGACACATTAGATAGCTGATTGTCAAAATATTTTCAATAAATAAACAGATGCCATGTTTGCCTCTAGTAGGTGAATTTACTACTGTAAACTTTGGTCTGTGCTTTAGACTGATGTTAAGGAAAGATAACTCTTACCCTTTTCTTGTCATCTGTCATAGCCACTTATCACATTTGCAGCTGCCTCAAAAATATTATCACAGAGCATTAGTTACTGACTGCACTTGGCAAAACCCAAAAGGCAGCTGTGATCATGCCCTCAGAGTTTTGAAAAAGAGAATTACTTTAAATTCCATATAAAAGCCATAGAAAGACTCGAGACTTGCCATAGGGCAGAGTCTTCAAAACATACACTGCTGAAGTTGCTGGTACTTACAGCATAAACCAGAAATATATTGTGAGTGTCCCAGAATTGGAAACCTCACATCTAGGTGACAACCAGCAGCTCACCAATAAAGCACAGCACAGACAACACTGCCCTGCTCCCAGGGTAGAGGCGGGCTCAGAACAGGACACACATGTAGAACAAAAAGAAGAGAATGTGGAAGACAGCAAAAACTGGTATGTCCAACCTTCTGAGTCCTGTCTGTCCTTTCTGAAATTACCAAACACTCCAATAAGCTCAAAGACCAGAAAAGACGTTTTTCCCTGCTGCTGGCCTATTTTTCATATGCCTGCACAAGGCCCAAACACATCCTTACACTTAAAATACTGTAGGTGTTCTCCACAGGCTTCAGATAAAACTACCTCCCAACCAAACCCATCTTCCTGACTACCAAAACCCCTCCTTCCAGGGCTCTATAAAAATCAAAGCTGTCTGACACACTTTATCCCCCTAAAACAGCATTTATCAAAGCTTCATTTTTAAAATCTATTGTGAAACTACTGCTGAAGGAGAAAAAACGGGGTGCAGGCCTGTCTCAGCAGCTACACCTATGCACCTGGAGAGGGACCGGGGCAGAAGCCCTGCTGGTGGCACTGATAAAATTCACCCCTCCAAGGGCACCAGAACAACTGGATCTGCACAGAAGAGGGATGAACCCATCCCCATGTCCTACAACAGCTCAGCATCAGCACTAATCAAATCAGAAGGAAAATGCACACAGAAAAGGTTGCTTTGCTTTTTCACCCAGCCTGTCTTAGAAACAGCCATCAACTGTCCACACCTTTCAGCACTTGACAACTACAGGGATGTGCATCCTTGGAGCCTTGCTTCTCCCAAAGAAGATGAAACAGGCAGAGAAGGGGCATCATGACTTGCGGCCACAGATCTGCTCGATGTCGTAGATCTCCTTGGGACAGTCAGCAGACAAGATGAGAGGTGCACCCTCTGTTATCAGAACATCATCCTCAATGCGCACACCAATGCCACGAAACCTCTCCGGGGTGCTCAAGTCATCCTCAGGGATATAAATGCCTGAAAGAAGAAAGGGAATTAAAACACACAACACACTTCAGAATAACACCTTTCCCTTACTGCACCACCATGAGAGCAGGGTTGGATTTTCAGCAACATAAAGTGAGTCTGATTCCCGAAAATTTTTAATAAGGGAAGCTACTCTCTCCCTTCACTCATGGCAGTCGGTGGGCAAAGAAAGGAAAGTGTTCCTCAGTACCGACAGGCATGTTAATAGAAACTTCCACAATTACAGCTGGCCTTTCTGCAGTTCTTCCTTTCAATGCTATATTCACAGTGATGATTTTAACAATGTTCTGAATAGAGAGAAAGAGAGAAGAGCTAGGCATTAAATATCAGATTCCAGCTGACAGCTCCAAATCCAGTGACAAGCAGAAAGAAAGATTCAATGTGAAATGCCTAATTTGCAAACCTAAGTTGTGAATGCCTGTAATTGCAGACTGCAATGCTTGAGACTTCCACTACCAGTGACTGGTAGTAGTTCAGCCACAGTAACACAAACCACAGCACAAGTGAATTGACCCTGCTTCTATGCACTGTGATTGACCTGTGCTGCTGTGGGTCAAACACTAACAGTCTGAGGTCTACATTACTCTCTTCTTGCTGCACAGACACAGTTTGTCACCTTGGCTGTGTCTGGGAGGGAAACGGCTTTTTCTAATACTATATTGACTTTGGGAGGGGAATAACTTCAGGTTTTCCAATACTGTAATTATTTTCAGTTTCACCAGAAAGGACCTGAATGCTTTGGTCAGAGGGACCAACTAACTACTGAAAGCAGTACTGTTACCCTCAGTGTTGCATGTTTTTGTCCACCACTAGACTATCTTTTTACCTGGTTCAATGGTTATCACCATGCCTGGCTGGAGCGGGAGCGATCGGGATATATCTGGGGTATCATGAACATCCATGCCCAAGTAATGGCCCACATGATGTGGGCAGTACTTTCGAACCGCCTGGCAGAAGACAAAACAAGTGTCACAGAAGCAGTTAAACACATCCCAACCTGTTGTTCCAATACAAAAGATGGGGAGAAGAGACAGAATAGTTATGTGCTCGACTAGCAATCATACTGCCATGACTAGTTACAAAGGCCTGCTTTCCATTTCCTGGACCTGGATGGCCCTCAAAACCTATCAGTACCAGGTGTCTATTATGAGCATATTGTACTCTGCCTCTCCTCCTCACTGAAAAGAGCAGCCTAAGCCTATCACCACCTCAGCATGAGGAAAGACTTTAGTTTTCTGCCCCAACCCTTTCTATCCCTTAAAGATCCTAGCCCTTCATTGCTCCCATCAGCAGACCCTGACAACTGGCAGTAGCTGACACAGCTGCTATGTGATGTGGCAAAGAGATCTTCTATGCACAACAGAGCAGATGCTGTGCTGATTTCACTCCACAGCTGCAGCAGGATTTTAATTCACCTCTATAGAACACAGATAACACCCTCACCACCCCCTGCCACTCAAACCCCCCTCCCTCCACAGAGGAGCTCCTTGGCAGCAGGAATCAGAATTCCCACTCTGCCCCTGCTCCTCACATTCACTGGGAGCTGAGCTGCAGACACTGGTCTCATCTTGCTGTGCTGTCACCTGCTGAGAAAAAAATGGCATGATAGCCTCTGTTCACAGGCAAGAACTTGTACTGTTATTGCATTGACACTGTAGGGCAATTAAATCTGGCAGAAATCTGTCCTACTGCCAAAGGGGTAGTTCTGTCACCTGGTTCTGCCACCTTTCTTGTACTGGTATCAGCAATCATGCAGGTTTGCAGTGAGCGGGAACAGAAATAAACTTCTCTAACTGCAAACCAATCCTATTTTAGCTGCAGGTCCAGCTCTAAGGCAGAGCAGTTTCCCAATCTTGTACACCAGGTAGCTCTGAAAAGCCCAATATTGACAAAAAATGGTGCAGAAGAGGCAGCCCATGGAAAGACTGAGAAGAATGGGCTGCACCTTTTGGTGACACTGCAGATTTATGCTATGTTATACAGACCACAAAACTGTGACTAACTGCCTGCTGACAGCCCTGAACTCAGAATTTTGTGTTATTGTTATATCTCTATAGATCCCTTCAAATGGTCTGTACTTTGAAGATGCATCTACACTAACAAGCAGTACAGACCAATGGGAATGGATATCCAGAGTGAAATGGCAAGTGCTGAGGAACAAATATTCACACTGTGTATATATAAGACTGGGGGGTTACTTCAGACCAAATTGCACACAGGATGGTTGAAATGCATCCTCAAGTTTAGCTGTGTAAGAGAGAAATCCAGTCCTATGTTGAGATCAGCCCCAAACATGAACTAAAGCACAATGTATAGCTACGATTTGAAGATGCGCCTCAAAAGCACATTATTAAGGCAAACTAAAAAAACTAACATAACCCAAGGAGAAAACAGGAAGGTCTAGTAGGGGGAAGCTGGAGTATAAAAACTTCAAGTACCTTGAAGAAGTGGCTCTCAGTGATGCTGCTCTTTAGGACCCCCAAATCTTTCAGTTTCTGTCCAATAAGACTCAACATGAGACTGTAGATATTCTCTAGACTCACGCCTGGGGAGCAGAGGCTCACACAGGATTTCTGGATATCCAGGACAGCCTGGTACAGTTCTGCTTGGGGTCTGGTAAACCTGAAAACCAGTGAGAAAAGGAAAAAAGGACATTTCTCACAATTAAACCTCTAGAACCTGTTCTAGGGATGGATTTAGTTCAATGCTGGAGCAGGAAAAGCCAAAAAGGAAAGAAACTGGCTCCTTACATGAAATGCCAGACAAGGCATCACTGCAACATGCCCTTCAATACACTGGGTAGAGGCAGGGTTTCTCATCTGAAAGACTAACCCCAAAGCAAAGCAAGGCAAAGCTAGTGCAGAGAAAAGAATGCACTTGAGCCAAAACATACACACATACACAACCACAGCACATCACACCACCAAATTCACAACTGACAGAACCATGTACAGGTCAGCTGAACTCGTCTTTCTGACATACAACCAAAGTCAGCCACAGCTGAATGCACAAAAGCCCTCTCTGCACCTTATGTATGCTGGAATAGCTGGAAATAGCAGTAATTACACATATTCATGTAGCAATTAATGAGGCGGTGGGGAATACAGCTTCTCATGCTGAAAGATTACTTTATATAATTTGATTACTCTGAAGAACCACAGAATGGGACACGTTAAAGCTACTCACACGGAGATTAAACACACATACACTCAATCCATCAATTATTTAAGAGCTCCCAAAGACCTTCCAAACAGCCGTATCACAGCTTACCTTCCATTGACAGGCCAGGTACGTGTGATGTCACTTACATAGCAGGCAGACTCACACCCACCATCCAACAAGACCAGTTCACCATCCTGGAAAGTAACAGGAAAAAATGCCCTGTGTGTCAGTCTGGCTATTAACTGAATTGATTTTTCTGTCTGAGAGCAGAAAAGGAGATTATGTATTTATTTTTGCAAAGCAGCTGCAGAGATGTGAACTTCTTTTGCAGAACAGCGTCCCAGATACTACTGTTTATAAATAGGCTATTCCAGTTGAATTGTTTCACTGCAAGGTAGTTTCTGACTGTTACGCTTTTCTACAGCCTGAAATCTTAACACACTGATTTGGAAACATTTTGGAGTAAAAAGAGACATTTTCCTTGAACTAAGCTGCGCTCTGAAACATCGATTCCATTCACATCTGGGTCGCTTATTCTAGCAAATGACACCAGTGACCCCTTTCACTAGAAGTTCTCTGCTAGTGATGGAGACAAAAGGGGTTTGCAACAAAAGCACAGATTTCTGAGCTACCCACAAGATCATTAGCAGCTAAAGATTTAGCCTTGTCACAAGGTAGGAGGACTCAGCAAAACCACTTCTTTGACAGTGCATTACTAGTATAAATGCCCTATTGAATAGTTTGTATCATCTTCCCTGTTCTCTTCTGGGACTTCCTTGACTGCTCTAAGATACACTTCTGAATCCATCCGCTGATGAAGAAAAAGCTTTTCGAAGAGAACCTCCAATTCACATCAGCAAAACTGTTCCTTGTCAATTAAATCACTGACTGCACATCTTCCAAAAGCCATGCAAAAAAGCCCAAGGGCCAGGAACAAACCCACGGTCTTGCTTTCCCTCCTTTAAAGAGGCTAACAAGAATTAGAGCAGTAAGATCTGTAAAAAATTCAGACTAAATTCTCTATGGATTTGCACTGCATGGAATCGAAGGCCTTTTATAGAGATTGACTCCACAGATCCATGACTGTGCCAGCAGCCATAGTGTGAAATGACAAGTAATAGTTCTAGTACATTAAGCGGAAAAACAAGAAGCAGAACTTCACTGCTAGCACAATGGCCAGTGCCAGCTACTATCATTGTGTACAGTTAAGTGCCACAAACACACCGTAGATTAACAGTGAGTAGATCTCACTATCCCACTGAATGGACAGGCCTTTAAGTATCCATTTAAATTGTTGGGCTTTTTTCCAGAGAAACTCATTTTTTTAAGTAAAATATAAAAAATTGCTGCCCTCTTACAGCAATTAAACAAGCTAAGTAACAGGGAATTCAGCCTGTGGTTTGATTAGCCAGTAAAGTGCCTTATGTTGTGCATTTTGTCCTCTTTCTTTAAAGCTGAGTTCACTAAGTGGTGGATTGAATGAAGTCTACATGAGGCCATAAGCAGCCTTCAGATACCTTCCAAATTAGACACTTTCTTAGCTTATTTGTCAACAAGATCTGTAAGAAGCAGCACACAAAGGAAAAGAAAGAGTCAAGTTTATGGGTTTAACCTCCTACTTAACAATTTTGGAAAGAAAAAAAGTCACGGGCATTTAACTGAAGTAACTGGAGTTACATGTGCATGCCTGACCTTGGAAGTCAGTACAACAGAGGAGGCTTATTTCTGCCCAAAGCAGCCTGTCATATCTTTTGTGTTTGTCATATCTTTTTGTTTGGCTCTGCAGATCATTTCAAGGTTTGCTCACACGCCAGCTTCAAGAAAAGATAATGCTAGTGGGAACGTTTCATCCTGCTTTAAGACAGAGGAAAAACACACTCCTCTGAAAAGTGCATCATGAGTAGAGCAGTGGGAGAATGCTGCTCCTGAAAATCCTTATTTGAATCTAAAGGTGTATTGTCAGGAAAGCTGGAGAGGGTTCAGTTCAATAATGTGAATCTTCAAAATAAGACAAAACAAATTAATTTCCCTACAGCCATCTAATCCACCTCTCAACATTTAATGTTGATCTTTTCCCTCCTTTTTCTCCTTTCCTGGCCTACCTGGAGTCCAAAATGCTTTTCAGCTTCACCAGAATGCACTATTGCACCTTCTGTTGCAAAGCATGGCCAAGCAATGCAAGTGACAGTAGACGACCCCCAACAGTGCCTTCACTCTGCCTGCTGCAGGAGTCCCTTTTTCTTCTTTTGTGACCAGTGTGGGAGCAGACATGCTTGCTAAATGAAGTGATGTGCAAGCTTGTTCACAAGTCCTTCCACTGTTAGGAAATACTGCAGCAAGTGCAAAGAGGACAGAGACTACATGGAGTGAAGTTAATCTGTCACTGACAGTAAAACTAACCAGGAAAGGATTCCTTTCCCCTGCACACTTGAAGAAATATAATTAAGTGGTTTGATCTGTTCATTCAAAAAAATGACATATATGGGGATGGTGTGGACTGCATTTTAAGTTACTAAACAGCATATGGTTTACCTTGATGAGCTGATTGTTCTTCACATAGTGCAAAGTGTTTGATCTGTTGCCACCAGCAACAACAGGGGGGTACGCCAAGATGTCAGCACCACGAGCCCGGCACTCAAACTCAAACTGGAATTCCAATTCAGAGAGAAGGAAACTGTTAGTGCTGATGCAGTTGATTAACTGCTATTATAATTTATGTTCTACGACTGTTTGCTTAATTTGTACATCACAAAGTGAAATAGGAAAGTGAATTCACTAAATGAAAGCAGCCTTGACGGTTTTTGAAGAAGACTGGAGAAAGCATGCGCTACCTAAGCCTCAAGACCTTTACCTTTCTGGAGTGATGGAGCTGATGAAAGCATGGAAATGAATGAACTTACATCTATAAAGATCCCCTATGTCCTCAAGATATTAAGAACATGTCTTTTCTGTAATTACTGAAACCAGATGGAACAGAACACTCCAGAATGCCTAAGTGTAGTAAAGCAGGTTTTACAATCTTGACCTGGAGTGAAAAAATTATCTGTAAAATAAACTTCAACTAAAATAATTTTCTTTACAAGTCAGTGCTGCTGCTCAGTGCCATGTCAGCACAGGCTCACCTATGTTGGAACACAGGGTCAAATCCTGCTGATGTTTCTAAAACGGGCATCTTACTGCAATTCCTTACAGAATTCCTTACTAAATGTGTCAGCCAATTAGTCCTTATTTTGTAAGAGGTGCATCTACATTGCTTCAGGACAGCTGTGGTAATCTGACATAGCAAGAGGCTAGAGTCAAGAGAAGCAGGCTTTAGAAATAGGTGCTATAACTACTTAAATTCTGCACAATAGAACTGTATTATAAAATAACTTTATCTCTCATGGTTTAGAAGGTTTTGTATTTAAATACAGTAGAAAAAGACATCAATAGCAGGTAAACTTAGACAACCACTACGTTCCTTCAATAAGGGTACAAGAAGTACAACTGAAGAATTCCTCACACTGACATTTCCACATGTCCTTGGGCGAAGGAACCACATGACTTGGGTGAAGGACAAACATGCTACTCACCTTTGCATATAGAAAGGCTTCATCCACTGGGGATTTGCTGGCAAACATTGTCTCTGTGAAAGCCTATGAAAAAGAAAGGCCTTTCAGCTACCTGAATTTAAAGAAAGTTGTTTTTTTTTTTACGTGCTCTCTTTTGAGGAAGGCCTAAAATCAGCTGGCCCAGACATAGGAACGAGAAGCACCTGAAAATACAGAATGCTGCCAAGACTAGAATCAATCAAGCTCTGTTCCCTGTGAAACTGTATTTAGAGACTGATTGACTGTAGTTTTTGAGAAAGAATTAGATGATTGAAGCTGATCCCATGGGTTGGCATTTAACAAGTTACCTCACCTATGGATTTCCCCATTTAAATAGGAGTGCCTTATGCAGCTTTTCCTTCAGAAAAAGACAAGCTGTACCTCTCTTTTCTATCTGGCTATCTACTTCAATAATATTTACAAAAACATAATTGCATTTGAGGTATCTGTCAGATTTGTTTCAAAGGGGGCAATGAGTTCAAAAGATATTTGAGGGAGAAGGGGTAATATGGAGACATAGGCAAAGTGTTCACAAAATCCCAATTCCTAAAAATCAACAGGATAAATGGGAAAGAAAACGGCATGGGGAAGGAGAGGTAAAGCTGCGAAGAGAGTGAAGAGACTACCCCTGTTCCTGGATAGATACTGCTTTTAAAGAAAGTCTAATAGCTCCTGGCTTGTCTTCACAGGAGTTAACACTAATTGAGAGAAGCTGGTAGTCCAAGCAGTTTCCTGTTTCTCCTTGTCATGTTGAGGGATCTGAGCCCAGCTAATGGTTAAGACACAGCAGTTCAGTAACAGATTAGACCAAAGCTATCCTTCCAACCCATGCCACCCCATCAACAGCCTTCCCCCCTTCTTCTTTAAAGGAATGCACTGGTTCATTTGGAGAGCACACAACCCATACTTCTGCTGTCACTCGTCCAGCTATCTTCATCCTTTCAATCTCTGCAGGAGATTTGATGAGACGAAGGTTTTGCACTAGGTGTCGGATGTGCTGGATGTGGTTTTTGTTCCGAGCTTTTATCTCAGCCAGGGGCTGCAGGTAGTCAGAGTGCAGCTCTGTATGCACTGGTTTTGCAAAGTCGTACCAAACAATGTTTGACTCACCTGGAACACAAAATGAAAGCTGAAATAGACAAAAATAAATGAAGAATGTTTTCCCCATTCTGAACAAACCCACTCCTCCTAAACTAGACCTGTTGCCGTGTTTGAGAAATTAATTTCCTCTGAATCTGCATTTACAGACCATATAGACACTTTCACTGTCACAAGATACTAGTGATCTCTTTGAAATCTTGAAGATTACCGGTTCATAGCATGTAGACCGGACAAATCCCCACCTCTATGCAAATACTGTTTTTTACAATTACCACTGAATATATGTATCTTGCAGAGATCCATGAAGACTTTGCATATCAAAGTTGCACTTGTATAAGCTAAGTAGCCATTGCACTACACTGGTGCATGTTCTGAATCAGGCTCTCTTTTAGCCTCTCCCCCAAAGCCGTAAGGCAATTTACCTTTTACCCATTACATGGAATCTGCTTAGAAGATGAACTTACTGAGGACAAACATATTAACCTATATGGAAATGTTTTACAACATCAGAGTTAGCACCCACATTCTCCCCACAGGAGCATTTTAAATGGGAATAGAGTACAAAAGCCATGCTGAGTCCCAGCTAAGTCCACCACTGCCCTCTTTCTTTGCTGACGATAGCCATTAACAGGTGCTCAAAAAGGTCTTTAAGAAACTGGGTGCTAACGAAAGAGTATTTCCCTTAGCACAACCTCCCCACTTTCTTCATTTCAAGGCTGCATCTTTGTAACAGCGATAAACTGCTTTTCATGAACCTCTCACCTGTGGAACCAAACACTTCAGAATCCATTTTTGCTTCTGACATACCAAACCTTCCATGGATGATCTACAACTTAAAAGGTGTCAAAACCCACCATGCGATCATTTTATTCAGTGTTCCCTTTGTTTGGAAATTAAGAAAAACAGTAACTAATCATTCCTACTCATCCTCTTAGTACTTTCCATAACCTTACACATCTCTCTCACACACCTTACTTTCCATTTTCTCTTTTTCAAACTGAGCAAGCTCAGCGTGTATCACACACACTCCATAGTTTTGATCATCCTTATTGTCCTTTCTGTGACTTTTCAATATATCCTTTTTTGAAACAAAAGAACTAGAATCCAAGATGCTATTTAAGACTCCAGAATTCACTCTTATTTGTGTAATACCCCGAGCACTTGCCCTTTTTGTATTGTCATAAGCCTTTAGCTTCAATTTCTAATAAATTTAAGTTCATCTTGGACTGTAAATATTGAGGCTACATGGTGAGCTTAGATGCAGAAGAACCTGTCTAAAGGACCGCAATGTTCATAACTCAACATTTAGACAAAAAAGGCAAGTGGGTTAACAACCTTCCTTTGTGGATCATTTTCCAAGTCTATTATGAATAAAATAGCTTCAAGTTTCCTACACTTTATCTGGTTCTAGTTCTGTCAGCAAAAGACATGACTAAAACAGTAACATGGTTTGCAATGCTCTGTTACTTACCTGCTCCTCATATTTCACAGATGTGCAACTGGCATTCAAATGGATCCACAAGCAATTCAGAGGGGAGGAAGAAGTATTATTTTCAAAACTCTATTTCCATTGGTGACCCTCAAGAAGCTAACAAGAACTTCCAACAGCCTTTGTCACACTGTCATATCCCCTGCACCTCTGCAAGCTCATCATAGTCTTCAATTATCACCACAGACCACCTTCCAAACCCATACCATCAGAACTTGCAAACCACATCTCATTTCCCCTCCACTTTCTGTTACCTTTTAGCTTGGCCACCAAGTGCCTGAACTCCTCAATGGTGTAAGCTTCATCTACTCCTGTGAGAGCAATTGCCCCGTCAGTACCTGATCTGGGCCCATCCCACAGCTCTCGGCTTGGATCTCTCCGGGGAACAAAAAGTATGGATTTGTGGGATGGCAGTGCTTTGCCAGGAATGCTCTGCAGCACCAGGATGCTGTCAGGCTCCTGGAACCCACAGAGGTACAGGAAGTTAGTGTCCTGGTGGAAAACGTAGGGGATGTCATTGCTCATGTAGTAGGTGGGGTTGGATAGCAGAATCACTGTGTGGTCCAACCCATCCCACCCACTGGCTTCCTTCTGGATCAACGCCATCAGTTTGTGTCGACGAAGAGCATATTCCACCTGTGACAATCCTGGGGTTACTTCTCCTATGAATAAAAAACCAAATCAGATTGAGAAATTCAATGCACTTATGCTATTTTACTAGTTGCATGCCTAATTCTCACCTACTCCCTGATGCCTTTCACAGGCATGGCTGCATTGTAATCCCTCAAAAGCCTTTCCATTGTTCTCCCTTGCACCTCTTCAGCTTCCATCCCTACAGTACATCCTCACTCAACTGCTCCTCCATCATGCAAAGACAGAAATGTGTTTTAACCAATCGGATTTTCTGTTATGTACTTTTGCACATAGGCAGAAATCAAAAAACCTGGTAGACTCAGACAAACATTCAAACCAGAGGAATGTTTGCTGAGACATGTAAAAAAAGGGGAAGGGGCAAGGCAAACTGAACTTTGACTGCTGAAAACTGATGGGGTTTATAGCACCTGGACATTGAACAGAAGATTATCTCCTGAGGCTGAGCATGAATTTCCTCAGATAAAGCTAGAATGTGTATTCAAATACACGCTAAGTCAAGTCATAGAGTAACTAGTTCTAAACCTTAATGGTCAGACTAAGTGTTACAGATACTGGGAGATCAGGCAGAGACACAGAGGTTGCAGACTCTAACCAGTCACAGGATTTCAGGCAGAAACAAACCAAGATCTGCAGGCTGGCGTCAGACTCCAATTCAGAGAAAGAATCCTCTCCAGGGCAGAGGTAGCTTTGCTCAATAGTAACCAATCTGCATTTTTCCAAAGTTAAATGCTGTATTCCTGATGACTCTAATTACATAAATGATCTTTCAGATGGAAGTACGTTTTGAACTGCTTCAGTCACAAGAGATACAAAGTACAGCAATCAAGATACTCACCAAAACCAGACTGAAGTTGAAAGAATAATCAACAGCTGCTGAGGTATGTATTTTTTTAAATGTGAGACTCCTTAACTATGATCTAAATTAACACAGAAGCCTTAATCAGTACTTTAGCTAATACCCAATTTTAACACAGATTGCATTTTCATACTGTTAACCTTTTAATTTAATAATCTTATTTTCCTCTAATGAATTGTGCAGAATTATAGAATAAAAATTGAAATTTAATTTGTACTCTAAGTTAAATTTCAAGTTAAAAAGTAAGTTAAAAAGTGGGTTCTTGCGTGAGTGGGGTGGGACGGGCAAATTCTATCCATAAGGCTTTTCCTTGACGAAAGTGTTTAAGAAAATCATATATGTTGAATATGCATTAAACGTTACATCTTTTCAAAGTCCTAACACCTATTTGGTGTAAAAATCTAAAAAAACCCAAACCCAAACCCACAAACCAAAAAACAACAAAACCAAAACAACAAACAAACCATATCAAACATCAAAACCACCATATTTGGTTTACTCTGTAGATCTGGAAACTACAGAGAACACAGAAACTGTTTCAAAACAATCTGACCTCACATTTCTGCAGTATTATACTGCAAATTTCCCATGCTCCACTGTATTCCAGTCAGCCTTCTAACTACAACAGTTCAGTGAAGTTTAGAAGCTGCAATAGGGCAGAACATGGGATTCCCATTTGTCTTCTGACTGTGAGGCCTGAAAATTCTCTTTGCCTTAAAGGCATTTGCTTTTTAAAACAATAATTGCAATAAAAAATGCATTATTTTAAGGAACGCAGAGCTCCTTTATTAAATGCAAAATTACTGGGGACAACCCGAATTCACTTGGAGTGTTTCAGTTGTGAGTACTTCTAAAGGATCGGCTTCACTTTCTGAGAGCTGCTAATCGGTGCCCTGAGCAACCTTATCTAATATTGAAGTTAGCCTGGCTTTGAGCAGAGGGTTAACTTTGTGAAGTTCCTTCTGACCTGAATCATTCTACAATTAAATATACTAGTATACCATTATGTATTAATCTGTTCTCTCTGTATACCTATCTATGGAAAAAGAACACAGAACCAGAATGGTCTCCTGAACGTATTCTTGAATATAATTTTATCTTTTTTGTTATTTAATCACGGTCATCTCATACCTACATGCTCATTTTCATTAATCTCAAAAAAATGCACAACCTCAGGTCTCTTTCACCCGTACTATCTAACTTTGTAGCCACAAGTCTCCTTTTCTTCTTTTCCTCACTGCTTGAATATTCTGAAGGGGGCATGTTCTTCCGTCCAACGTTGTCCATCTATCAGTGTCTCCCCAGTCTCCTTTCCTGAATGACACCTTTGTTTTGTGACTCACAAAACACTGGATATGATGGAATCTGGCAGTTCATCATCTTGCACAAAGGCCTCCTCTTAATATAAACCATATGTATTTGCATGACAACAAACTCACAAAATGCCACTGCCATGAAAAGTTTGCACTACCCAAGTTAAGTGACACCAAGCACTCCACGAGAAAAAGGTAAAAGCTAACATGTCAAAGCCTATTTCTGGAATCAGTATCATCTCAGACAAGGAAATGAGCTACTGAGCTACTAAATATAATTAATGACTAATGAAGGTAATCATAAACAGCTGAAACCACAGATACCTGTATGATGCAGAAAATCAATACTTTGTCCTGGAAACCTCAGAAAAATAGAGACTAGAAAGAATAACAATGACTGGTTCATACAGGACCTGAACCTAACCTGGTTTGAGAAGGTGAGGGTGTGTGAAAGGGCTGGGCTGGCCCAGATACCGGTTTGGAATCTTCTTCTGCTGGGCAGGCTGGATGGAAAATCTTCGGAGAGCACATGACTTGCAAACTAGAGGAAAAGAAACGCACCAGGTCAAGGTAAAGACCTTTACAGTTCTGACTCTAAATATCATTTATTCACCTTATATGGCAAGAATATCCCTCCTTAACTTCTCAATTTGTTGTGTACCACAACAGTTTACGGAACAACATGCACACAACTCAACTAATAAACAAATATTCCTAAAACATTGAGAAAAATAAACAATTTAATTTTTTTCTGCATGAAAGATACTCAAAGAGTCCCCATTTATGTATTTAATTTACTTTATAGTGGCAATACCCAAACTGGAAATGGTTCCTCAGAAGCATACAGTTATGTACCCCACTTCCAAATCCACACACAGCCAAAACAGGCAAGTTCTAAAGTGAATTACAAGCGTGCATTTGGAAGCTGGGGGTACATGTGGTACCCTACCCTACCTACATGGTAGGCAAAAGCTAAACTTAAATACAATTGTCACAAACTTTACCAACTTTGGAATTCTCTGTTACAGCCTTTTGCAGTTGGAAAATTGCTTGTGCTGGATACAGATCATAAAACATGTGGATGGATGCGGTAATCAGTTTCCTAACATCTAGTAACTGATGTTTTGGAAACTGGTTCTCTTTCATGTCACTTGCCATGTGGCTACTAAAAAATCAATCCATGCGGCTACTAAAAAGTCAATCCATATTGCCATAGCACGACACTGGATTCTTGGAACAAAAGATAATCAAGTCATTGCGAGCATAAGCAAGCGCAACCCAAGCAAACCAGATGCCTGACTTTCAGGGGATTGAGACTCAAAGGCTTACAGCAAAATGTACAGACTGTCAATTTTCTGTGGGAGTCTGTACTATTAGACACAAATAGATTACTTAATCATGCCAACTAATAGTCATAACATAAAGCATTCACTATGTGATGACTGATGGGAGTAACGGTCTGGAGACCCAGGCAGTGAAATATTATTACAGCTTTTTGTGTGATTTCATAGACTCACAGACTGGTTCAGGTTGGAAGGGACCTTAAAGCTCTTCCTGTTCCAACTCCCTGCCATACGCAGGGGCACCTTCCACCAGACCAGGTTGCTCCAAGCCCCGTTTAACCTGGCCTTGAACACTGCCAGGGATAGGGCAGCCACAGCTTCTCCGGGCAACCTTGGGCCAGGGCCTCACCACCCTCACAGTAAATAATTCCTTATCTCTAACCTAAATCTCCCCTTTGTCAGTTTAAAGCCATTCCCCCGTGTCCTGTCACTACCTGCCCTTGTAAAAAGTCCTCTCCGGATTTCTTATATGCCCCTCTAGGCACTGGAAGCTGCTCTAAGATCTCCCGAGCCTTCCCCCAAAAGAAGAGTGTAAAGTGTTTTCAGTTTCTCTCCATTTACACAGAAGAGAAATAGGATAGCTTGCAACAGAACGCATCCAGCATTAAGCAAAGCAGTATTTTGAAGACTGCAAGGAGGTCTCCATGCCGTTACTTTTATTTTTCAACCAATAAGCCACTTCCCCCTCATTCAGCCCTGATAGGGGCTATAACTCCGCTGCCGGATCAAGCTGCCTCCCTCGCACCCACAGCGACAAAGGTGCCGAGGGCAGCCTCAGCCCTCGCCCGCCCTGGTGAGAAGGACGGTCTGTAAGCGTGGATAACCCTTAGCGTGTCCTGGGCCGCCTGTCACCGGAGCCCGGGAGGCGGACGGAGCCCGGCGGCACTGCACGTGTGGGGTGAAGCAAGGCCCGTTAAGTGGGGGTGGTGTCTGACCTGAGCAGCCGCGCCAGCCCCTCACCGCCGCCACAAGCCCCCGGCCCGGAAGCGGCGACATGTCCGAGGGCGCGGGGCTCAGCTCCCTCCCCTCCTCCCTTCCCCCGGCCCGCGCATGGCGGGGCCTTCCCCTGCAGCGGCGCCGTGCTCTGACACCATCAACGAGCGCGGGCACCGTGCCCGGCCCCGCCGCCAATGAGCGGCGCCACACCGCGTTAGGCGCCCGCGGAGGCCGCCTGTCCCGGCCGGGGGGAGACGCGCGGAGAAACCCAGGCTACGGCGGGACAGCTGCGGAGAGAAAGGCGCGCGTTAACGCTGCGCAAAGAGCTCTGCCGCTACTCATCGGCTTGCCCCGCTTCTAGAACGTTCCCGCCTTGTCGCGGCGGCGGGGCGGGGCCAGGCCCCGGGGGGGCGTGGCCTGGCGGGGAGTGGGGCGTGGCGTCGCGGTGAACAGGGCGGGCTGGAAGCTTCCAGTGCGCCGCGCGGCGGTTGGGCAGGGGAAGTGGGTGTGCGTGTGTGAGTGAGTCGTGTGTGCGGTGCCCCGCCATGGACGCGCGTAAACTGAGCGAGCTGCGGGCCTTCGTGCGGCTGTGCAAGCAGAACCCGGGCCTGCTGCACACCGAGGAGCTCGCCTTCCTCCGGGACTGGGTGGAGAGGTCGGTCACGGGCCGCGCTGCGCCTCCGTCAGAGGAGGCCGTGAGGGGACTGTGATGGCGGGGGGGGGAATGGGTGGTCTTGCGCGGGACGCGGTGAGGAGAAGGGGGAGAGGAAGAGGAGGGTGCGTGTCTCAGTGGTGGGGGAGGGGCGGCACGTGTGCACCGACTGGGGCGTGGGGTCGCCGCTGCGGGACTGGCCGGGTGCTGCTTGATGGGTGATTTACACCGCACCCGTTCCCATCCGTGTTACAGTCATTAAAGAGGTCTGTAATTGTTGTGTTTTCATAAGCTCTGTCTATTTCCGCTGCAAGAACGTGCCCCCCGGCCGTCTCAGTCAGTGGCTCAGCTTTCCAGGCTGGAAGGCCCCAGAGTTATACTTAACCGAGCTAATTCTCGCATTATGCTGCAGAGTTGGCTAAGCGTGTCTTAAAAGGAGCTGAGTTTTGTGGGGAGGTGAGTGGCGCTGGTTTACATCCTGGTACCTGAAAGCACAAGTAACGTGCCAGTTTAATGCGTGGAGTGGTTCCTGGGCAAACAGTGCTTTGTCCTTTGAAGTTTGATGTATCGGGTAGTTGAAATCTTGCTCCCCTGTGAGGCACTTCGGGCCTCTGCTGTTTTTGCTGCACGTAGGCTTTGTGCACCTGTGGCCTGGCCTGGCAGATGCTGGTTGATATAAAAACACCTTCGCGCTCCACCTTCGGCACCCAAAAGCACCAGGTTGGAAAGGCTGAGGGGCTTTGCTGCTGGGAGGGAGTCCACAGCACCCTTGTATTCACTAGGCGTACCCCTGCTTGGCATCTGTAGCCACAACCCTTGCTGCTTGGAGAACTGAGTAAGGAAAACTCATTGCAGATACACCTTTTATGAAAAGGGAAGTTAAAAAGTTTTTATCTAGTGACAGACTGGGGTTTGTTTTAGAGAGTTTGCTTTAAATTTTAATCTGAAAGTATTTTAACTGTACATTCTGCTGTATAGTACTTGTAATTAGTTTAGTGAGGCTTTTTTAGTGCTTTTATGTAAGTAAGTACTTGTATCGCACAATACGTCATATAATGAAAATTACTACAAGGAACTATTTAGGTTTTGGGTTTTTTTACAGTGATATTTAAACTTCCATGCATCTGAATGTTAGCGTGGTTGTAAAACCACTCCTATTTAACTTCACTTGGTTTTGCAGTACTGAGAGTAGCTGCACATATGCCTAGGGAGGAGGTACATACCTATTTGAGCCTACTGCACGTCTTTAGTTCCATTTGCTACTGTGTAAAAAACTTCAGTACCTCACCCTCCGTTACCTCCATTCTTGAGCAGTTCTGAAGGTGTGAACAAAATATTTTGAGAGGGAGAAAAAGAGCACAATCTTATATTGATCAAAGAAAGTGTTAGGGAATGGAAAGGTGCTCATTGGATTTCTGATTTTCTCCATGTTAATGGAGAGGGCTCTAACTTGCAGATTAATTTTTAGTTTGTGTTTGGTTACTAGAAGGGTGCTTGTATTAAAGGTATAAACATGAGGGTTTGAATTGTGGAATTTTTGTTATTTTTTTCCCCGTTCCATAATCTTCCCTGATTATATCAGAAGTTAAAAATTATTTCAAAGTAGAACCTCCTATAGCTCTCAACCTTTCTGGTTTTCCTTACATATTTGTTCTAAGTATTTGGGTAAGTTCTACCCTTGGATATTTGGAGTGGTACCCAAATTACTTTTAATGTCAAAATGTTGGAAGTCTGGTGGGTTTCCCTCTGCCCTTCCATGATAGTGCTGCGTGCAGTAGGACTATTAAGTGCATTTATAGGGTTTTCTCATTCTTTGGAAACTGCTTGAAACTAAGCATGGCAATAAGCTGGAAATAAACTCAGCAAGTCTTACAGCTCTGTCAGGCTTACCTGTATTAATATGAAAGACACGGGTTTAGTTGCCAGGGTAATGTTGTGATTACAGAATAATGACTAAATGATAATGAAATCCATCATTAAAATTATCAGTTAAAATTCTGATAACTGATTGTAGGGTTTTTTTTCCATAAAGATAATGATTCTAACTTAAATGATGCTAACTGCTAAATGTGAAACCAAAATGGGTTGGTTTATTCCTGATTAGTATTACATCAGAAACCTTAAGCCTTACCTGGTTTTATGCACTTGTTAGCTTCTAACCTTTACTCTGACTAGCTGTTTTACTTAATTTCCATATAGATGTTCTCGGTATAGAAAGCGTTACACTAGTGTATGATTATGTTTGGAAAGTATTCTGACATCCCTTTTAATTATGCCTGCGTTTTCATAATTACACAAAAATACAAATAGTTTCACTTGAATTGTTATTTAATGAGTCATTAAAGGGAATATGTTTCAAATTGGTTTTGCAGTTGAGCAAAGGAACAATAGCAGTCCTTAAAAGTAAAGCACAGAATCCCTAATTAATGAACGGGGCTTTGTCCTCCCCCTTTTTGGGGGGTGATGTTGTTTTGTTCAAATAGATTTTGGCCCTTTGCAATTCAGAGTAATCCAGTTTCTCCCTAAGTTGATTTTGCTGTCAGTGATGAGAGTGGATGCAGATGTAACTGTTCTTCCAAAAAGTCATAAAAGCAGCACTTCTCATCACTGTGGTGAGTGGAAGTACAGAGTCATTGTTGCAATGGAATCCTGAGAGCTCCCAAGAGGAGTTACTGGAGTTGCACAACTCCGTTTTAGCACAAAGGTTTAATTTAGTTTTTTGTATGTGTGTGCTATTTATATGGCTCAGTACTTGCTTTTTCCTACAAGAGTCTCTCATATATCTGTGCCACTGAGGTTAAATACGTTACTCTCTTTGTATATATCCTTGCTGTGCATTTAATCGTTGTAATCAACTACTGGTTAAAGGGATTTTAGAGTAACTTGCTTTTGAATTATTTTTGGGTTGTAACTAGTTTAAGTAGAGGATAACTGGATAGAAAAACATTTTAAAGAATTTGATTCCTGCATTGGAAGTTGGGAATTTTGCTGACCTTTTTGAGTTAAGAGGGTTCTCGGTCTTCTTCAAGTAAGCCAAGCTTTGAAAGTTACTGTTTGGGGGATGGCCGGGGGGAGAAAAAAATTGTTGCCAACAGCCATTAGATGGATCTTGTGAGCATTATGTTACCCTGGATATTGTTTGTCAGCACTACTAAAATGCTTCAGAATTTATAGTTATTTATAGCTTCCTTTGTGCAGGAGAAGTTCCAAGCCCTCTCTGGAGAGTCCTTATAGTCCTAGAGAAAACTTCGGGGTTTTTTGCATACTGGTAGAGAATTATGTGTGCTATTGCCAGCCTCCAAGGGTAAAAATTCAGGAGGAAAAAGTTACTATGTGTACTGTGTTTTGCCTAACTCTGTAATGCTTTGTCTGATAAACACTGCTTTATCAGTTTTTTAGTTCTTGCAGTCTAAAAAGTAATGTCAACATTCCAGAGAAATCTAAATTTTTGAAATAGTTTCAGAACATGCTGGGTTTTGTAACTTGTGGTATATTTTCTTGACAGTTTATCCTTATAAACTAGAGGTAGTGTAGTGCTGTTTCGTTGCCTTTTGCTGCAGGGCCTTCTGCCAGGACCTGTCACCTCCTTTTCCCTTTCCTATCTTTTCTCCCCCAATTCATCCCTATCTCTGTCTTGTCTGACCCCATCCAGGTTTGTTTTCATCTCGTTTGGGGCCTGACTGTGAGACAGTGCTGTTGACAGGAAGACGGAAAAGAGCGGAGAATGGGACTGCTGCTGCAGCCTGTCTTAAGCTGTAGGGTCTCATCCTTAGGATGTAGTTTTATGCTGCACTAATTCCTGAGAGCAGATAGTCCTGCGCCCTTTCAGTTCCTCCTGCCCACTCCTCTGTCCACTGCCTTCTTTCCCCTGCATCACAACTAAGCGATTACTTTGTGCCCCAGGAAGGCAGTAGAGCCTGTTTTGTTGAGACATGTAGTTTTGTTTCCCTTTGGAGTGTGAATGGCCAGAGCAACTGAAAACATCTCAGTAGGTGGGAATGCAGGGCAGAGGATGGATGGGAATGGTAGTTCTTGTGGTAGCCTGCCATTAGGTGTGATTAGATGTTATATGAAACAGTTGGAGAATTCAGCCTGTGCTTATTTCTGGCTTCTAACCAAAGTTGATATAGTATAGAAGTTCATTCTATATTGAAAGAATGCTGACTATACAGAGGATGCTTCTTAACTTGTTGCTAAGGAAAGGCATAAGTATTGCAGTACGTAAGAGAAAAGGCATCAATTTTGTAATAGCGTTAACGTTTTAGGTCATGGTTCTCATGAATTGTTTGACCTCTGTTCCAAAATTCTAATTTTAGTAAGATCTATAAAAATAGTATTTAGTTTTGGCTTAAAATGTAAATGGTATTGCAAGAACAAAATCTGTTTGAGCCAATGAGGCAAGTTTTCCTTGTGAGTGTGGGTGAGTGGGTGATGTTCATGAGTAGAAGTCACAGTGGAGTTCTAGGTGAAAAAGTCAACAGAGTGTGCATTATGTTACACTGAGAAAAGCATGGTGGATGTGTGCTTTTTATTTGCTACAGCAGATTGGATCATCATGTCTTGTGTCACAACAAAAGCCAAGATTATCAGCAGGATTTGAGTATATAAAATACATGTCAATGTTTTGATAATCTGTTTTGTTTTTTCTCTTCTCTGTTTTGCTCAAAAGTATGGGAGGCACAATACCACCTGCTCCAGCCAATGCCTCCACAGAGGAGACAAGGAAGGTGAGATATGAAGAATTTACCATTGAAAAGTAACATTTAGACTCTGCAAAAATTACTGAGCAGGAGCAGGGAAAAAGTTGCTGTCAATTTTCATTTGAATAGGGTGGGTGAATCCACAAGGGTGAGTGAGTATGACAGTTCAGGCTGAAGCCTGCCCATTGCATGTTGTAGATGACTTGTCACAGATGGCTCCCTAATTTATTTCAAGTATTATCATGCTCCATTTCCCTAATCTTGAATGCCTGATGTTCTGTGCAGTGCAAATGCCAAACAAAATCTTGGTGTCTTTTTTTTTAATGTTCTTGCTGTCGGTGTATGCGTTTGTTCTGTAGTCATTAGTGGATTAAATTATAATCTTTGCATGAGAAGAAATATGAGTGAGCATGATGGGTAACAAACAGTTGAACTATCAACTTTTTAAGGCAATATTATAGAAGAGATTTTAATTTCTTTCTGTTAATTGTTTTAAGGGAGAGAATAAATCTAGCGTGTAGATATTTATAACAGGATTTTCCCCAAGCTGAAAATTCTTTTGAAAGAAGTAGCATTTTTGTTTTGATTTAACAAGAGTGGATGCTGGAATCACTGGCTGGTGGAGGGATTGTGTATTTAGTGAGTATAGTCTGTGACACTGAATAGGAAGACAAGCAGCTTATGTCTTGTGCTAAAGCAGGATGTGCCAAGTTACAGGATTCAGAGGAAATCAGTGATGTGGTTAGAAGCTGACAGGAGAATATCTGAAAATAAAAATGTTCTATATATATTCTGTATATAAGTGACAAAGACCTCTGACCTGTGCAAATGGAAACAGTATTCTAGTCATTGACAACAGTTTATTGTTCACTGCTAAGGGACCTTGGCTTAATAGTAGTAGACAGAGAGTTTTTGATCCAGAGAATGCGTGAGGAAAGGCAGAAAGATTGGAAGGGTTAGTTAGTAATCATTGCAAAACTGATTCTGAATTGGGTGTTATCTGGATTTTGTTTTTATTATTGAATTGCACAATTTGAAGAACAGGCTTTGCCAGTAATAGAAGTTCATGAGTGAAGATTTGGGCTCTGAATTATTTGCATGCATGATAGGCTTAGTCTGAGAGGAGGAAAAAGAAGACTTGTACCTTTAAAATAGCTATAGAGCAGTATAATACTTTGAAGATTAATTTTGGATTTTCTGATGTGTTGTTACTTATTAGAGTGGGACTACAGTATCAGTCAGAAATAACGTATGCTTACAAATACATTTCTCTTTCAGGGCAAAGCAGAGGAACAGCCAGAGGAGCCGGTTAAACCGCCTGAACCAGAAAGTGAAGAGAGTGACTTAGGTGTGGAAAATAGATTGCTTATCACATTTTACCAATTTATGCATGATTCTGGAAATCCTTTTTCTGTTTGTAGATGGAGCTTAATCTTAATTTTTGTTTTTCCTGTAGAAATTGACAATGATGGAGTGATTGAACCAGACAATGATGACCCACAAGAAATGGGAGATGAAAATGTGGAGGTAAGCACATGCTTTCCTACTGCCACAGACATGGAAAATATAGGGAGAAGTTTTGAGTTTAGTCAAGGACAGCAGCTGAGACGGCTTGAGTACTATATTAACTAGGTAGCCAGCTGTTGCTACGGCCCTTTTCTTCCTAACACCACCCCCCCCCACCCCCCCCCACCCCCCCCCAGTTTACTGGCTTCAGAACCACAGTCTTATTTAAGGTTAGACTCCATCAGGAAGGTCAGTGGGGAAAATCAGGTCAGAAAACACACAAAAAATCTGGCAAAACACCCATGAAAACTAGGTATGTAGAAACCTGCCATTATTTAACTCAAACTTTTGAGCATTTTCTAGCTAAAAATAATGGTGGGTTATGTCTCCAAGCTGAAAGCAAAGGATTTTTGCCTGTTTTATTTTATTTTTTGAACTATGATTTCAATGCAAATTAAGAACAAGATTCTGGATTCAGAAAACTAGCTCCCTTCCTTGGTGCTGTTGTAGCATGGTAATTCTGGCCTTGACTCTACAGCTTTTGGGGTTTGTGTGGTTTTTGTTTTATTTTCTTAGGTAACTGAAGAGATGATGGATCAAGCAAATGAGAAGAAGATTGAAGCAATAAATGCTCTTAGTGAAGGTGATAAATTTTTTTTTTGGTACATGTTCCAGGACACTAGGTTTTGTTCTTTTAAGAATGGAAGTAAATATCTTGAACCATTTTGAATGCTTTTGAGGGAAAGAAAACCTACGTCCTGTTGGATGCCCAAAACTTTCTAGAACATGACAGCTGCTTTAAGTAGCTTTCAGAGCTTCCCAGTGTAGCTCTAATTTTGGGCAGGGGGGATGGACTATGAGCTACTGCAGTGACTTAATTACAAATTGATCTTTATAGTACTTCCCTGTGTATTATGATCAGTGTCTCTAGTGGTTTATCTTAATGCAGTGAAAAGCTGTGTAATAGAGATGACTTCTTGTTTGATTGCATGCAAAGTTAAATGTACAAATTTAACTGGAAAAAGTCTCTTCTCTGTTCTAGCATGAATTTTGGAGTTTGTACTGCAGTAACATAGCAAGAGGGAGAAACTGATTTTTTTTTTTTTCTTTTGTTGATAATATTCCATTTAAGAAGTGCCTAGGGATGTCACACCCTGTAAGGCAGGTTTGGCAATTTTGATATAATTTCACTTGTGTGATGATTGAATCTTTATTGGTACTCAGGTGAACTTCAGAAGGCTGTTGACTTGTTCACAGATGCTATCAAGCTGAATCCTTGTTTGGCCATCTTGTATGCCAAGAGGGCAAGGTGAGTGATTTGTTTCTACCTGTTCTTTCATTTTCCTTAAGGAACCTAAATACAATGGCAACTTGAGGATCTGTGTAAACTTAAACCACATGAGGGAAAGAGAAAAGCAGACTTTGTGTTTTCTCTTATATGTGATTAACCAGATTTGCTGAAGCAGCTATATAAAGAATCTCGGTAATAGAATAAGTAACAGTGGTGTTTCAGAATGCATTATGATAATACGGCTTTTAGTGTGTTGAATTAGACACTTGTAAAATCTGAAGCTTGTTTGAGGATTAAGATGAAAATAGAAATCATGTCCTCTTTAGAAATGAATTCATTCACTATGGAGTAGATTTGTTTCTGTTGAATAGTCCTACGTTTGAACAGGACACACCTATTTCTCAACCCGTCCACCTTACTGCTAATTAAATATATTAGACTGCAGGTAATCCATTGGGAACACTGTCAGATTTGATATGTAGTAGCCATAACTTCATAATGCCAATAATTCATTATAAGGTAGGAGTGTGAGGTGGAGGTGTTGTGTGTTTGGGAGATGAGGGGTTTTGTGGAGCCAGCAGCATTGCAGCATTGGAATGTCTCATTAGTGGTGTGTATCTCTGGGACTTTTTTTTTATTTTTTCCTTTAGAAATCTTTTAATTTGAAATACCCAAGCCTCCTATAATGCCCTGCTAGTTAACCTGATATGCTTGTGTAATGTGAAAGTTGCAGTTATTTCACTTTGCTGACAAAAGATTGGGACTACCTTTTGGGTTTGCCTTTTGTTTTGCCTCTGTTAATTTTGATGGCTCATATCCTATCTCCTTTTGTAGTTCCTGATAATGATAGCTGTTGATCCTTGTAGGCTGTATGATAACTCTTACTTTCCTTCTCTTGCTGTTTTAAGGATTATGTAATATGGCATGCATAACATTACTGTTCTGTTCAAATTGCTAGTTCCTATTGCCTGTAGATGCCAGATACCATGGAATTGAATTATCCTTTGCATTTTATATCTGTTCCTTGTGCACTAAAGTTATTCTTGCTGGCAAGGGTTGAGTGTAAACAATGAATTCTTTTGCTTCTTGCTAATAATTCCCCTGCAGTGGCAGGGATGGAACTGAATTTCAGTGACTTCATTATCACTATGAAATCTTTTTGAACTCAGCTCTTCTCTCATTAGTTTGCCTGTTAGTCACACAGAATTATTTCCAGCTTAAGTTAGTAACCTGGTATTTTAGTACGTATAATAAATGTTCTTGTTCTGACAGTGTTTTTGTGAAGCTGCAGAAGCCAAATGCTGCCATCAGAGATTGTGACAGAGCCATCAAGATTAATCCCGACTCGGCACAGACGTACAAATGGAGGGGAAAAGCACATAGGTAATGAACTGCACATGTACTTGATTCTCTCTTCGCTTACTTGGTGAACAGTTTTGTTTATGCATTCTCTCCTTCTCTTGTGTCTCTCTCTGTCTCTTACCTGAGAGCAGTAGCCATAAGCCAGGAAACCACTGTGCTGAGTGTATGGCTTATAGGGAAGAAAGGATGATGGGGATTTATTGATGGCAATTTATGAGTAGTCCTGTTGGCCCTGTCATCTTTTTCTCTTTTTTTTTTTTCTTAGCATACATTCTAAGGCATTATTGCTGTTCTGAATAGCATTTGCTAATTACTTGCTGAAGATTGGGAGTTCTAGGACTGTGGGGTTTGTGTGGAGTTCTTTTGTTTTCACTTAGTTCTATTTTTATGTATTAGACTTAAACATTTCTCTGCTTCCTTTATTCCATTAGATCATAGAGCTCTTATACACAGTAAAATAAGATTAAACTGTCTAGTTATTAATAGAAGCATTTGTTGCAAACAGTGTAATTAACTAAAATGAGATTAGCCCGTTGTGTATCCTCCCCAGTTATGTTTAAACTTTTAAAAAACCACAGTACATCAGTAAAAAAAAAAAATAGACACTTATGGCATGTCTAGAAGTGGAAGGAGTAAATGCTAAAAAACTGCCCCTTCTTTAAAAAGGGGTATTTTAAACAGTCTTCAGAGAGAAGTTTGTTAATGTCTACAGTTTAATAAAAGTCATGGAGCCTAATAGTGAGAAGGCTGGAGCGTAGTTTGGGTGAACACCTCTTTCTGCAAGCAGAAGTGCTTAGACCATTTAGGAATACCATCATTTGCTTAAATTTATTATCAGACTATAAATGAAAAGTTAGTAAGTATGCACAGTAGCTTGTATGACCTCTTTGGCAAAGACATGGTGCATCCAGTTAGCTAGGATGTTTGAGTGCTGAGTAGAGAGAGTCCACTTAAGCTTGAGATAGTGCTGTAGACTTGTACAGAACGCTGCATATGTAGTTTTATACTGAGCACCTAATGCTGCAGAGTATCTTTATTGACGTGTTTCACCTGGTTAGGGTACTTTCTCCCTGTTAGACCCTTCTTGTTTATGGCAGGCAAGGACATTAGCTGATGGAGGAGTTTTTTCCTCATTGTTACTTCAAGCAAAAGTCATTGGTAAAAAGTTAAGGGTATGAAGGAAGCAAGTATCCTCTTAATGCCATTGTAGTGTACTGATTATAGAAAGTACCCTGATTGTTGGATGTTAAACCTCTGTAAGTCTGTATAACTGCAGGTAAAAACACTGAATACTGCATGGTTATAAGTATTTTGAAGAACTGTAAGAGTTAAGTTTGCTTTTTCCTTCTGAATGTTGGTGTTTTCTGAATTTCAGACTGCTGGGTCACTGGGAGGAGGCTGCTCATGATCTTGCATTAGCTTGTAAACTGGATTATGATGAAGATGCGAGTGCCATGCTGAAGGAGGTGCAACCAAAAGTAAGTGGGGAGCACAATGGAGGTCCATCCTCTCTTTTTGTTTGACATTTCTGCCTTCAGATTCTTGCATTGTCTTGTGGGAATGTGTTCATGTGTCACCTGACACTTCAGACCGAGATATACATATTTGTCTTCAATCATTGCTGTTTATGGCTATGTGTAGAAAAGTTGAGTTTCTGGGGCTGGGCAGGTAACCAAACTATGAAATAATACATTCCCTTTTAAAAACCTTACAGAAGAATCTGAAGCAGTTAAGTGCCAGGCTAGATTGTAGAAGCTAGACTGAAGACATGCAGAAGAACAAGAGAACACTGATAATGGATTTTTATTTATTTATTTATTTTAAAGCTACTCCTAATGGACCGAAGTTTCACCCTAAACATGTTTTATAAAGGAAGGGTTCCCTGCTGTGATTTGTACTTTTATTAGTCTGCCTCCTGAGGGCAGTATAATCTCTGTAAGACTTGTTTTCAGCTTTACTCAGGTGCTTGACCCCAGCGTTCTTCTAAGGAAGAACTTTTGTGTAACAAATATAATAAGATTGTTGATAGCAGGCTTTCTTTCTCATCTGCTTTGCATTTTCCTTTAAAGTGGCTGATACACGACAGATTGCAGGTGTTGCATTGTATTTGGTTTACAAGGCAGGGTTGGGGGAAGGTAGAGACTGCAGGGCTGCCTTCTTGTAAGAAGAGACGTGGGGATGCCCCTGTGTCAAACAGCTGATTCCAGCTGTCTCCAAAACAAGACCACAGAGGTGATAGGCTGGAGATGTGTGTGAAATGTTGGTATTGTATTGTAACAGGCTCAGAAAATTGCAGAACATCGCCGAAAATATGAGCGGAAGCGTGAGGAAAAGGAAATCAAGGAAAGAATGGAAAGAGTGAAGAAGGCACGGGAGGAGCATGAAAGAGCACAAAGGGTGAGTACTTAGGCTTTAATATTTGTTAATCATTTGGAGAATGTAATAATTATTTTGGTTCAGTTATTTTGCTTAAAGTGAACTGCAGAGGATAATTGCTTTCCTTGGTGTTAAATACTGGAGAGAGTCTATTTCTGTTTTGGTTACTTGACCAGTATTGGAATCCAGAGAAGAGGGCATTGTGCTGCTTTTATTGCTTATGACAAAACTAGACTCTGGAATCTCTACTAATGCTGTATTTCAAGAAGTCAGTTATTGTATGGCTAAACTGGAATAGTTATCACTTAAAGTACTTATGTCCCCCAGAGTCTGAGATTTTAAATTCAGGATAATGCTTCTCTTCCTCATTTCTTGACACATTTTGCTTGCCTTTTCTTTGTACTATACTGATGTATTTTAATATGTTGGGGGCGGGAGTTCAAAAAATGTAAGTTGAAGAGCTAAAACAAATCATGCAGTTTATATTAAATAAAAACATACTAAAGTAAGAGTAGACATCGCTATTTCTTGTCAGTGGTTTTTCACATGGTAAAGTGTTTTTTTTATTGGGTAACCTACCTGTCTGAAATGGTCTCGGCTGGTTTTCTTTTTATCTCCTAAAGCCAGTTGAGCAGTAGAAAGCAGGCTGCACTTCTGTTGCTTTGTGTGGAATGATGTGCTTTCATCTGCAGGAGGAAGAAGCAAGACGACAGGCAGGAGGAGCTCAGTTTGGTGGCTTCCCAGGTATTTTATTTTTAAGCACCAATATTTGAGGCAGAAATGACTGTTGTTTCCATGTGGAATATTATAATCACAGTTTTGATAGCATTTGTCCTCAAAACAGAGAGAAAAGTATTTTGTGAAGTTTAGAACTTGTCTACAAATAAGTCTTTGAGCACTAGCGGGAAGAGGGATTGGATTCTTAAAAAGGATTATTGCTGGGTAGCAAGTAGAGGGAAGACAGAAATCAGTAATGATGGATAACAGAATTACAGGATTTAAGCAAGAAAAAAACAGAGGTGCAGTATTTGCTTGATAATATGTGCTGAAAAACTAGTATAAAAATATTTTCTAAATCACCCAAGGTGCCTTGGACCCATTCTGCTGAAGAACTGTAGTGTTAAAGTTGAAAATTCAAATGGTCAGGAAATTTGTGCTGGTTACAAGCTATTGTTGAACAGAATAGTTTCTCAAAGGAGTTAGTGCAGTTCAGCTTATAGAAAAGCTGACCTTGAACAGTTGAAAAAAAAAATCAGGCTTTCCATGTTATTTTGGGGCACAATAAATTGGGGAGAAATAATAGTAAATACTAATGCTCTTGAAGATTGAGATGTAGTTGAGCTAGGCTGTGTGCATGCTCCAACCAGATCAGCCACCAAATAGAGATCATTATGTAGCCTGTTCAGTACAGCTGGGGTAGCTGCTGATTAGGGATTCAAAAACAGAATTTAGCTTCAGGTGTCTTGTTTCTTTGGAAGTGTAATTTTTTCAAAGTTGAAGTTGCCACCAGACTTGGAATGTGCCTTGGACATACCACTACTGATCTGTTTTTGTCCTGAGTGGTTCATCCCAGGCATTCAAACTCATGTTCCTGAGCTTGAGACCTACCTGATTTAAATTCACCAGAAAAAAAAAAAATGCATCTATGCATCTGTGTACAAGGTGCTGGAACACTTGTGGCAAGGCTCCTACTCAATTCCATAAAAAACTTGGATGAAATAAGATGTAGGTCCTCACAGAAAGAGGAGGTGAAGCCTCTGCTTTCCATTCAGTGGACCAGCTGTAGCCTTAGGGAAGACATGGCTTTAGAGGGGTGGCAAAGGAAGTATCTTGGTCTTTCTCAGTGACCTTCCTGTATAGTTGAATTCACTGTTTTTAATCATGCATTCTTCTTGTCTTGGGTTTTCAGGTGGGTTTCCTGGGGCTATGCCTGGAGGCATGCCAGGAATGGCAGGTATGCCTGGTGTCAATGAGATTCTCAGTGATCCAGAAGTCCTTGCTGCCATGCAGGTGAGTATTAGCTAAAATCAAAGCTAAATGTTCTGAATGAGGGAAGAACAGCACCTGTGAGCTAAGAAAAGGAAGAAAGATGTGACCTGGATAGCCCAGTGGGATACTTGCTTATTTCTGTTGTGAAATTCCGTGTGTGTGTATGGCACCAGACTGTCTGGAATCAATGTTAGCCGTTTTTCAAACTTAATTAAAGATGCCTCCCTTTGCCACTGAGTACTCGCCTACGATAGGCAAAACTATGTTTTATAGAGGTCTTTCATTTATTTGGAGTATCTTGAATGGTTATTTTCCACGTGGTCCTTATTTTCCACTCATTCCTTTTTTTGAATGCCCAAACAAAAAACTATTGTTAACATTGTTGCAACACAATATATTGCAATAATACTGAGAGGAGAATTGCTTTTCTCTTACGGGATTAAGTGTTTGGATTTTGCCAGAGGCAAAGTAGTATCAGAATAGTTCTGCTTCTGGCACTTTCTAAATTTATGTTTAGAAAGCTTACTTCCCCTGTGGGCTTGCTTAATTGCTCAGTTAATTATTCAGTGTCATGACTTCTTCACAAGCATTTCAGCAGATTAAATAGAACATATCTGACAGCATCAATTTTAGGGGCAGGTGGGCTAGGAAAAATCTGAACTATACATTTATATTTGTGTACTAATATGACCACATATGAAGGCGTTTTGTTACTTTTTCTGTATTGCTATGTTCAAACTAGAGTTACATGTTGTTCTTGGCTTATTGAATGTATATGATCCCCATCTAAATAAAAGCATCACAAGGGACCCTTATTTGGTATGGCCTAAAATAAAAACCAGGCATCACTTCCCATACGAAAATTCCAGGGTTCCCCTAATGTTTGATGGTGTTTGGAAACACGCCTACTTAGGCTGCCACAGTCAGCGATGTTGATTTGCGTGCAGACCATCCCCAAAAAAAGCCTATGACTTGTAGTTGTTACCTGGCTAACTTATGCTGTAATAAAAGAGTTTGAAATTAGAGTTGCTGAAACAAAGCTTTGAGGTGCATCTAAGTATTAAGTGGTTGCTGTTTGCCTTTAAGAAGATTTCATTGCATGCTGATTTTATATAGATGTATACATATATACCCCTAGATATTGTAGGAGTCTTGCAAGAATGTGTGTTGACAGTGTTTTCTGATATTGCAGGCTTTAATGTGTAGAAGCTGCCAGCGCAGCCTTAACTCTCAGCTTCACATGTAGATACGATTTATGCAGCATTTCACCTTTTTGCACTGCCACCTTTTCCTAAAATGTCCAACAGACTATGGTCTGGCCCTCTCTGAATTGGCAGTGTATGCTCTAGTCTTAAAAGACAGCAGCTGCTACTGCTTGGCTTCTGTTTAGTGTTTTGGAAATCTGCCATGAGCCACCTTATTTTCATAAGGAGTGATGTGCAAGATGAACTTAACGGATTCCTTATTTGACATACAGTCAAATGGTAGACCCAGACTTCCACTAAAATGTGTTAACTTGGGAAGAAGAGTGATAACTTTCCCCTTAGGGTATTTTTCATCTTGCAACTAAAGACTAAAGCATTAGAAAAAAATGTTTTGCCAATGCCATTTATACAGTGGTTTCCGTTCCACCTTATATGCTAGTTATTTACCTATGGAAATGTTGGTATCTTCAGCCTTAAACTTTATTATGATAATAGTGCTCATCAATGTCTAACAGATCCAAGGCTTCACATCTTTATAAACACAGTGTAAGATGGAGGGCTTCCAGGGAGTTGCACAAATACAGAATAATTTACTTGCTGTGAATTCTTAGGACCATAAAATCAAATATTTAAGATTCATTTAGGTGTAGTTTGACACAAACCAGTAACTAACCTTAGTCAGCTTTTTGTTCTGGATTGATATACAGGTGAAAACATTAACAGCATGACATGATCTTTATAGTGATGTTCCCTGTTTTGAAATAGGCAATTCAGAAAGTTTGAGGCTGTGAAATTTTTATTCTTTGCATAAGAATCCTGTAAAGTGGAGAAAATATCTGATACCTGTTCTGAACTAAAGCATCCTGTTCTGTCTAGACTTTGCAGCTTCCCTTTTGTGAGGGAGACAAAACACTTGTAAACCCTTCTCACAACAGACTGGACTCTTGGCTCCCAACATGTATAAAACATGGCAGAACTATGTGGGTGATTTTAGTGGAGCCCACACCTACCAAATGCAGTTTTGGAACTGACTTGTTAAACAGCTTTTGTCTGTGTCTGATGCTGGAGTAGATGCAGCATGGTGTTATTGAGGCACAGGCAGCTCTGAGGACACCAGCCGATTTTCGATGGTTTCCAAAGAATGTATCTGCAGTAGCAGTGGGCTAGAAGTCTAGGGAAGATTGTATTTTTCAGTGAAACTACATTAATGTGCTGGAAAGAACAGTAGATGAAATTACAGCTAATGCAGATGATTTGTATCAAACATAATAAATTGCTTTCAGTTTAGCTCAATTGAAAAAAAAAAAACTTGAATCTTTGCAGAAGTTGCTTGTATCAGCAGCATTTTTCCAGGCTGAGATGTAAAATTAGTCTATACAGATTTATTAAAGGGCACTGTTCAAAGTAAGCACATATAAAATGAGTAAAACCAGTTCTAGTTCAATTGGGACCAAAGGTACACTAGAAGTACAGAAAAAAGGTATTAATGCTTCTCATGCTAAATAGAGAATATAAAGTTGTTGGGTTTTTTGACCACTGATTTTAATGTATGTGTGAACTTATTATCAACTGCACCACAGAAGTGTGATGAGAAAAAACAAAGTTCTCCTCCATTTCTCAGAGGAGGTGGGAAATGACTGAGAATCCTCTGCATTTTTAAAAGCCAAACGTTGCCACATCAGCTGCTCATAGTCCAGGTTAAATTTTCTGCCGTTAGAAGGAAAACGGGTTAAAGGGAACAGTAGCAGCTGTTGCTTAGTGGAGGGTCATCCTATCATGCATGCTACACACATAGAACTCCTCCCTCCTTCAAAACGCATCTGAAAATGCCTGAATAGAAGTAATCCAGTAGGTGTGGCTGTGTTTGAGTGTTCCTGTTTTGGGGAAGAAGAACTCTTACCTTATTCTCCTCATACATTGAGCTATTACTGTAACATGTTCAGTAGCGTTTACTGATGCAGTGTTAACAACACGCACTATATCGTTGGGCTCTCTTTAGAGACTTTTTGCCCAGAACTCTGGTCTTGTCATGTTAAAAGCTCAGCAAGACTAGATTTGTGTTGGAACCACATAACTTTTGTAGACTTGTTCTGTAAATGCCCTAATTTTTTGCTTTTTGTCCTGTAGGATCCAGAAGTTATGGCTGCATTCCAAGATGTTGCCCAGAATCCAGCAAATATGTCCAAGTACCAGAACAATCCCAAGGTCATGAATCTCATCAGTAAATTGTCTGCCAAATTTGGCAGTAAACCATAAAATCCCTGGTTCTTAAAAATCATATCTGAATGGGAAGGATTGAATTTGGCTAACCATTGTTGCAATAAAACAAACCATGGTACCTCTGATCTTCTTAAGAAGAGAAACGGGGTGTTTTAAGGAGAGCTGTTCTATGGCCCCAAGTGTTGACTTTATTCAGTGATTGGTTTATAGCACCCAAACTACATTCACATGATCTAGTTTCAACCATCTCTCCTTACCCAAGAGTTACAAGCTTTTCCCAAGTATTACAGTCAGTTTCCTTTGAATGAACACTTCTGTAAGAAATTAATAATACTCCAGGAGTGCAAGATAAAAACCTACTGTTGTGTTGGTTTGGATTTTTTTTTTATTATTTTTTTAATTTTTAATTATTCTCAGTGAGCAAAGAGGAAGGAACTTTAAGGAACTTTAACAGTTAAAGTCTGTCTTAATCTCTTTGGGACAGAAGAGTTGGCCTAGTCACAGTTAGCAAAGGTGGGACAAATCTGAAAAAATAACTGGATGAAGGAATTGTCTGCAATCCAAGTCCTTTATATTTTCTAAGTGGGTGACTGACTTTATATAGTTATTAAAGTTATCAGTATAACCATGCAAGCTAGTTACACACTGGAACTTCTGGCAGTACTGCAAATAATGTAATATTTTGATCACCAAAACTGTGCAACAAAGGTACAGTCCTGTCCTTTATATAACTTGGCATGAAGTACATATTGCAGAGGCCACAGAGGTTTTGTTACTTGTTCAGTTGTTGTCCAGCACCTTTATGTAATGTATTTACCAGCCTGGGTATGGGAGAGCAGCTCACAAAAGTTCTTCTGCTCTTGTCTGTTCCCAGTTGTCAGGTCCTCCACTGGTTGCACTCCCCCTTCCTTGGGGCCACGCTTACCAGGTTTCACCTATTTGGAAATTTTAGGGAAGGAATCATGTTCCCGTCACTACCTCTGTCCCACTAAGCTCAAGCCATCCAGAACATGTAAATGCAGAGTTATAAATCAGTGCAGGGGAGAATCCCCGACAAAATTGCAGCTCTGAGTTTGAGTCCTTACAAGCTTACTGATTAAAATTTCTTGGCCAAAGCCCTGCTGTCTCTTTAGAGGTGATGACTCTTCTTTCACTGCATACTGTAGTCTTCCATTTTTCTTGTATCCTTTTCTTTAACAAACAACAAACCAACAAAAAAAAAAAACCACAAAAAAATCCCAAGAAACCAAACGCTTGTCATGGTTTCATAGTTGTATGTTTTTGAGCTTGTGATATGGAGGAAAAGGTGAAGCTAATTAGAGGAGACAGAAGGTTGTTCTAACACTTGCGGATTAACAGCATGGGTATCTTTGGAGCGGTGTCTGTGCTGATGATGTTCAGTTCATTTGTCTACCAGTAAAGACAGTTGTTGCTTCTGTTTGTCTTAGCTAAAGCATGATGTTTCTGTGTAAAAAAGACCAGTTACCTGTTCATCCCTTAAGACTCAATGTTTGTGTTACTTTTTTGTAATTCTGTATCTTAAGCCATAACTAAGGTTAGCAGTTCAAAATAAATCTGGATTGGTGTAGGAACTCAACTACAGTTGCAAAAAATAAATCCCCAAATGCTTTTTCTCATACTAATGACCCTGCAGAATGAAATGTGAATCTTTTTGCTTAAGAAATATAGTTCTGAATACTTCTCTTAGCCTTTAAAAAATAAAGTATGGTTTTGAAAAAGCTTTTTGGGTTTCTGTAACTTTCTGATAAAACCTATTTTGCTTAAATGTGGAAGTGCTTTAATTAAACTGTATATTTAACTTGTGGTTTAATAGGAACTAAATGCGTAAGGGCTTGTCTTCATGACAAAATGAACTCCAGTTACGATTGAGTGTTGCTGTGTGCCTGGCTTTTGGATCTGCTGTTCCCAAGAGGAGATACTTGAAGTAGGTCACCCCTCAGTATAGGCAGAAGCTCAGCTTTGTCATTAAGGCTGGTGCAGATGGGCTGTGCATGAATCAAGAGTATCTTGAATATAGTTTTATTCCCCATAGTTTCCTGTTAATCCATCCTAGCTGTTTGTGTGTGTCTACCCATGACTAGTCAAAAGTATGGTTACTCCTAGCTAGTAGAAATGATCATATCTGTGTCCTGGCTGCTGTTATTCAAAGCCGACTGCCTCAGGATTGTCCCTCATTTTGGTGTTGGCTAGATTACTCATGCTAACTTCTTGTCTTTTGGGAATGCACATACAAAGACTCCCTTAGTGTGTGTGTGTGTGTGGTTTTTTTAGTGTTACCCAGTAAATTAATTGAGATGGCTGGACCTCATCTCAGTTCCCCAAGTTGGCATGTGGACATCTAAGCAGCCAAACTGGTTTGAACAGAAATGCACATGGGGAAAGTTAACTGTACAGGAGGTGAGCAAAAATAAGTTTCAAATGTGGGATATAAGTGGCTATGATGAAGTTCTTATTTTCATTGTTTGCTTCAGTATTTACTGGCAGCTCCTTCAGGCTGTTTGCTTCCATTGCAGCAGAGTGTAGGGGTAGTTCTTGCAAGTACAGTGGCGATAACTGGTTCAGCTGGCAAATTGACTCTCATGTGTATGAATGGTTCAGCTAGCATGGTGCAATGTCAGACATGCTAATCCAGGCTCAGGGATGGCTGGTGGATCTATGCTATGGAGCAACAACAAAATTCAGGTGACTGGGCTACAAGTTGTTGTCAACCTTGGGAATCAGAGCTTAGGTAAGTCGTACTCTCGTCCTGTGGTACTCACAGGAACTTTATGTGAGACAAACCTTCCTTCACCCGCAGTGACTGGAGGTCCTACTAAACATAAATATTGAGAATTTTCCTGCACATCTGAATCTTGGCAACGAACTAAATTGAGATGTTACCCTGTAATCTTGCTGATGAAGTGTTACTGCTGTACCTATCTGATGTACAAATAGGCTTTTGAAATGTATATTCTAGATGGATGGTCTCAGACAAGCTTGAGATCTTGTCAATAAATAAATATATTTGCAGAATGTGTTATGACTCTTTTTGTTAAGTAAGTGGGTAACAATCTTTGGCACCTTTGGTGTTGCACGTATTTACTAAACCCAGGATTGTCTTTTAATGTACAAATGTGACAGTGGCTACAAGGAATAGAAGTTCCTAGTACATGTAAATAAATTAGATACAAAAGATTACAAGATTGGGAGTAGCAGTTTATCTTGGAATTTCTTCTGGAAGTACAGCAGCTGAAGCAGTCTGATGGTAAGCATAATTGGTATAGGTATAAAGGTATTTAGAAAGACGGGGTACTTGCTACTCAACTATAAAGTAAAGTAAAAAGGAGGAGAGGTCTAAACCAGTTAATAGTGAAGGGAATCCAGTTATTGCAGCCTTTTAGTTTTATAAATCTCATGTTCTCACTCTAGAGGATAAGTTTCTAGAAATGAGTTGGCTTGCATTTTGCATTTCAGAAAGAAAAGTATCATAGCAGAAAATCAGAGCAGTTCATGTAACCACTGGTGTGCAGTGTTCAATAAAATTACCTTTTTAAATAGACTGAAGGTACAAATTGTTAGGAAGTCATCACAATTAGTTGAAAAAAAATCAAGGTATTACATTGAGAATGAGGTTCCTGAGTGGCTGACACTGGCATTGGCTCTCATTAGAGAAAATTCATGCTGAAGCTCAGCTGCTAGTGTTTGGGGAAAAAAAAAAAGCAGAAGCTGCCACCTGTGCTTTCTTATTTCAGGTTTTAAAAAACATCTAAAAAATGGCTTATTGCTAGCAGTTTATGAGGAAAAATGAACACACATGTTCTAAAGGAAGATCACTGTGGCTTTTTTGTTGTTATCCTACAATATGGAAAAGTACTTGAGAAAAAAAAAATAAATTCAGAAGCTATTTTGTAATCCATGATATTGTTTCCTTAGTCTGTTGTGTGAAAACTTTCCAAACCAGAATATAAATCAAACTGGAATGAATTACTAGCCTTTTCAGGGAAAACAAACAAACAAAAACAAGACCACAAAAATAGGCAATTAGAACAGATGTTAGATGTTTATCAAGTAAAAAACCCAAGCGAACAGAACAGAGCAAGGCACTGAAATCTGTGCTCGACAATTAGTCTGTAAAAGTGAAGGTGGCTATGGAAAATTTGGTCTGAACTAGGAAAGTGGTTGAACAAGTAGTGTAATAGGAGATTAATAATGGCAAATGCAAGTAACTTCCACTGAAAAGCATTTCAATCTCTGATGTCCCTAAGCCTAGATGAAGCGTGTAGGGAAGACTCAGCAGCATCCCAGAGGCTCAGTCAGAATCTCTTCAGGCAAAGCACACACACGCATACATACATAGGAAATGGGATTTTTAATATGTTTGTGATTACAAGGCTTTCTTCTAGAGCAGGCTAGTCTTTCCATGGTCTTATACTTCAGCCTGATCTTGCCCTGTTTGCGTGATCAAACACTGCACTATGTCATGGATTCAGACTGTCAGCACATGCAGTCTCATTTGTTAATCTCTAGTTGCTTTCATCTGGGTGTACTGGGAGTATGATCCAGTTTATCAACCTTTTCTGAAAGATAAAGTTTTGCAACAGATTCAGAAATGCTTCTGAAAGTTGTCATTAAATCTGTCCTAACATGTTTTCACTTTAATGAATCAAATTTCTAAGCAAATAAAAGGAGACATGTTTTTTTTGTTGTTTTTTTTTTTTTTTTGGGGGGGGGGGGGGGGGGGGGGCCGGGGGGTTGGTAAATTAATGTTAGAATAAGGAGAGCACTAGGGTAAAGTTTAAGTTCAGAGTTCATTCTTTATTTGCTAAGGTAAGACACAGTGCCCAGGCAGATAAGTCTGACTTCTGGAGTAACTTACTTTGTCATGAATTAGAAGCAAAGGTGGGGGCCAGCCAAAGAAAATCTGTCAAGGTTAATGTTTCTCAAGATCTGTTCCTCCTACAGGAATCTACAGAGTTAAAATCATGCAAACAAGGAATTACTGAAATGCAGTTCACATACAGAAAATGTGTATTTGAGGCTGCTTAACTTGGATCACTTCTAGGCTTTCTAGTAGAATTGACAAATTGGAGGAAAAGGTAACTTGGCCCTTCTGTGCTTCAGTAAGCTCCACTTGCATGTATTATGTGTGTGCCTGGAAACCTGTTGAATTTGTGGTGTTTCTGTGAAGAGCTATTGTCTTTATGAGACTTTTTATAGGTAGGTTCCATTTCCCCCCCTGCAGAAGAGACTGGCACGTCTTGTTTAACTTAATCTATAGCGTTTCCCTTGTTTTTCTTGGGCAGCTTCACTAGGTCTGTGTGTTCCAAATTAAGTTGGGTTTGGAATACTGCAACTGTTACCTGCGTTACCTGTTAATACGCTGTTTTGCAATATATACAGGGCATAGTGTCTTATAAAAGTGTTGCAAAATAGAATAGTAATAGTATAGAATGATTGGGTGTACATTTATGATGGAAATCCAATCTGCAGTACAAACTGACTCTTAGTGAAAGCGTTCTGCTGCACAAGAGGGACAGAAGCACAAAGAACATCAGTAATATGAGTTTATGCCCTGCTTGAAGGTGGTTTTTGTTTCCAAAAGCACCTGTGCCTGCCTGTGCAAAGTCACTTTGCATAATTGTTCCCTGGTTTTGTAAAACCTAATATACTCCTGGCTGCATTAGTGATGGGAGACAGCCAGTGAACTGTGTACACCTTAATTCTGCATTAAGGTTTGAGTCTTTCCCATGCTGGGTGGGTCTCAGAGGTGAATTATTAAGAGAAGCCATCATTGTGGGGTTAACTAATAGGGTTTTATTAATGATTAAACAATGATTAAAGGATAATTAATTGATGACCAAATGAAAACTAAATAGTAATGGAACGGTTATTAAGCAATAATTGAATGGCAGTTAAACAGTGATTTGACAATGGCTTAGATTTGGATTTAAACAACTCTACTATTTACTACACTTGTAATAATTAAGCTATAGCTGGATATGTATTAGGGTTAGCATACATATTGTATGCTGCATACAATACACTCTAGGCCTAATGTATGATGTCACTTCATTATAGGTACAAGATGCTGGGTCAGGGGTCTCTCAACCTTGAGGTGTAACCTTGAAAGGCATCCCTGCTCAAGAGGAAGGTCATTGCCGAGCAGCCCACTGGTGCACGGGAGAGCAAAATGTGCTCATGAGAGCTGCAGATGCAGCATAAGGTGATTGACTCGTGGTCAAGCCCCCTTTTGGTGTACGTGCAGCTGTGCAGCTGTAGCAGTTTCAGCTCTGTCTAGGCCCAGCTCAGGTACTGTTAGTTCCTGGTAAGATGTGCCCTAACTCCTTCATTCCTGAGAAGATGAAGCCTAGAACAGTGCCCAGGGTTTGCATGGCCGGACTCATTTCAGTCAGGCCTGCTTATCAGTGATGCCTGAAACAAAGTGCTGCTCACTCAGAGTGGTGCACCCATCACAGGGGATCTTATTAAAAAGAAATATAGGGACTACCAATGGTATCAGTCTTTCATAAAAGAATTGACAGTTGTGGCCTCTTAGTTGCTAGTGTCAGCAACTGATGTTGGAGCACAGGGATGTTGAAGCAGTGCAACGGAGGAATGTTTTTCTCACACAGAAAGGCTTGCCTCAGGCAGATTAGCCTGTGTTCTTTACAGCCCCGCTCCCTCACAAAAGATCATGGGATTTTTCTTGAGGAAGGGGTAAGTAAAGACATGTGCTCTGTTATTGGGCCACCTTACGAAGGAATGTCTTACCAAAAGGAAATGGCCTGTCGGGCTGTGGTGGTAAAACTCTTGGGCAATGTGTAATGTGCTAACTGCCCTGTTTAGATAATGCACGGTATGGTGATTCCTACCATGGGGTGTAAGTGGTAGGAGCTCTTGCAGCTCAACCAGGAGGCAGCAGGAGAGCTATGGTCAAAGAACTAACTGCAAATATGAACAAGAAGTTATGAAGTTATTTTTTCTGTTCAGAAAGAGAATGAAAGATGGCGGAGTAACACGATACAAAGCTAAGGAGAATGTTCATTTTTATCTTCAATTACCATTTTTCCTTAGGTGACTACGGTAAGAAGAGGGGAAGGATTGTTAACACAGGGAACGCATGAAGGTATCCGTTCTTCCAATCCAACTGCTTTTTAGCGCCCAGTGTTTCCAGTGACACAGCTAGGTGCTCACGTTCCCTGCCTAGAGCCTTCCCGAGCTGTTCCCGCACCCCTTCCGCGGGCGTTGGCAGCCGCCCTGCGGGACCACCGCGCTTTCCCGCTCGGAAAGGCCGGCTCCTCCACCGCTCCCGCTCAGCGGGTGATGCGCATGCGCGGGGCCAGGCGTGACGCGCCGCGCGGGCGGGATCATGGAGCGGGAGGGTGTCGGCGGTGCTGCGGATGCATCGGGGCGGGCAGCGGCCGAGCCCGCGGGAGCCGTGGCCATGTCTTCCATCGCCTCCTACGAGAGCCTGGTGCATGCCGTGTCCGGGGCCGTGGTGAGCGAGCGGGTCGGGGCTTGAGGGGCCGCTGCTGGCGGCGCCGGGTCGGGGAAGGGGGCGTCTCCACCCCCGTTCGTGGTGACGCGGCCGAGGCCGAGGGGTCTGGTCGGTGGGGTGTGCCCCGGGCGGCGGTGAGGAAAGGCGGGCGGAGCAGCCGGACGGCAGGGTGGGGTCCAGGGGGGATAACCGGCAGCCTTAAGCCTTTGACTGAGGGGCCACGGGAGGGGAACCCCGCGCTTGAGGGGCGGCTTCGGGGGTGTGGAGGCGGGGTAGCCCGGCTGAGGGGCTGAAGTGGGACCAGGCCCTGCATGGTCACAAGGAGAGGGGTTGGCGTGAGGTCGCCTTGACACCGAGACCCAGCTCTGCCACCCATCCCGTAAGAGCGCGCTTGCAAGCCCCCCCCGGTGTGTTTGTCTGTAGTTTTGGATGTGGGGTTTAATGAGCACCACAGGAGCTGTAGGTGTGCTCCCTTAGACAGTGAGCCTCCAAGCGTCTGAAGTTGGGCATCTAATTAGCAATGAAAATTTAAGCCTTTCAGAAGTTCGGGTAGAGGGACATCTTCAGCTGTGCAGTGTAAGAGTTGTACTAAACATCTGCCTTCTGCAATTGTCTCATAAATCAGAATCAGACTGGTTTGTGTTGGAAGGGACCGTAAAGCTCACCCAGTTCCAACCCCTTGCCACGGGCAGGGACACCTTCCACTAGACCAGGAGGCTCCAAGCCCTGTCCAGCCTGGCCTTGAACACTGCCAGGGACGGGGCAGCCACAGCTTCTCTGGGCACCCTGTGCCAGTGCCACACCACCATCACAGGGAAGACTGTTTTCCTAATGTCTAATCTAAATCTCCCCTCTGTCAGGTTAAAGCCATTCTGCCTTGTCCTGTCACTACTGGCCCCTGTAAAACGTCCCTCTCCAGATTTCTTGTAGGGGGGCCCTCTAGGCACTGGAAGCTGCTCTAAGGTCTCCCTGGAGCTTTCTCTTCTCCAGGCTGAACAAGCCCAACTCTTTTAGCCTGTCTCCATTGGAGAGGTGCTTCAGCCCTCTGAGCATCTTCATGGCCCTCTAATACTTAGAAGTTGTGAAGGATGAAGTAATACATAGGTGTTAACCAAAGCATAAAGCAAGCACGGTGCAGCTAGAGGAGGATTGTATGGATAATTGAATTCAATTTTTCATATGACACTTGTAAATTAAAAAGTAGTGTTTAATTTCTGTAGATTTTCTTGTATGCTCAAATGACAGCTAGCTCTGTAAATAGCAAATCAGCCTTGTACTTCCAATAGGTTGAGAATTTTAGCTCAATGTAGCATTTTGGACCGGACATTCTGATGGGTTTCAAGCGAGCTGATGCAGCTGTACTCTTGGGTTATTCCAGACTGGCAAGAACACCTAAACTTGTGTTTTGGCAGTTGCCAATGTACTGTTCTGGCCAAACTTCCTGTTCTAATTTGAGTCTTTAGAAGAACTCTCAATGTCTTCTGTAGGATGAAAGTTACTAAATGTTATTGAATGATAAGGGCTGATTCTAAAGGGAAAAAATACTTTAAAGGGTTTTTTTGCCTTTATAATAAATAAACATGGAGCTATTGTCTGCTCTTCAAAGTGTTTGATGTCTGCTTATTTAAGTATCAAAGGCAGTGGGGATTTTGTTTCCACTTTCATGAAATGGAACTCTTGAGTGATCTTGTTATTGAAGTAGTGCTTGCTTTCTTTTTGCTGGTCTGTACAGAAGCTGATAACAACTTCTAGCCTTCACTGTTAAGTTTTCAATCTCGTCTCCAGATCGTTATAACCAGGCTGTACTTCTGAAGAAATTTTGTGTTATAAACCGAACCTATAAATCCAGCCATAAATTTAAAACACGTAATGAAATGGTATCTCAAGTCCCTTGGTGGTGTTAATAAGGTTAATAGAAATTCACAATTGTACTTGAAGATGCTTATATGTCAGCAGTGATGTTGCTATGAAGGAAGACAGAGCTTTTTGGAGCTCTTGGACTTCAGTACCCTTGTACAGAAGTCCTTTCTTAACTGCCTTATGCTGGATACCTTGATACTTTTTTCTCATAATAAAGGTGTGCTTATCAATTTAGACATTTGTTTACTACTGTAATATATACATTTTGGTAAGATCTTTGACTTGGGTACTAACTGTTCTGATATTGTCTCACCATTTGCTTAAATTATTATAAAGCACATTGATGTGCAGATGTGGTGCAAGACTTTAAAGAAAAAAAGAGAAAAAGCAACCCACAGAACTGTCCTGAGGTAATGAGTCAGAAGAACATGCCAGATCACAACATGATAGTTTCTGTTTCTGTTCAGCTATGGTCAAAGTTCATATATCTTGTAGGCTGCCTGGTCAAACCTGAGACAACTGAATAATTCTGAGCAGCAGAAAACTCAGGGCTTGATTTCCTGTGAGCTTTAATTGAATTACAGAAGTATTCCTTAGCTCTGCATATAGCTATAAAGTAAACCTTCCTGTTACAAAAGCTGTAGGAATGAGAATTTTATAGGCATATTATGAGAGTAGTCAAGCTGCTTTTATATATGTATTTAAATTATTGTTATTTTTTAGGAAACCAAACTTTAGGCTGCATACCTCTTCTTGGCAGCAGTCGCCTCAGTCCATTGGTTCTGGCTGCTTACTGCCACTTCTTGGCTACTGCACTGTTCTGTACGGTGCTGTGGCTCATCAGGGAACTGATCAGGCTAAAGAAGTAGCCCAGTGGAAAAAAGTTATTTATTCAGTTACACTGGTTTCCTTCTTGCATCATTGTGTAGGTGCCCAAAAAGTTATGCCGCCAGAACAGAGGAGGCAGAGACGCAAACACAGTTGACCAAGAGCTGGGATTGCTTAAACCAGTTTGTACCTGTCCTAGCGATTATCCAGCAATAGCATGACTTGACGTGGCAAGGCACCAAGATTCAGTGCCGACAGGGAGGTGGTGGGAAGGCAGACAGTGAGGCCTCACCCTTTCAACAGTACAGGGTCATGCATTTCAGTATACATTCATGAAGTCAGTAATAGGAGTTACTTACTTTTCTTGCTCGCCTCAAGCGTGATCAGTAAGGAATCTCAGCTCATCTCAAGGTGTTTTGTTGCTGGGGAAAGGGCTGGTCTTGCTCATCCCTTTCTTTTCCCTTACTTTCAGCCATGAAATCATGTCTCCTCCACATGATGTTTCTGGCAGTCTCCTTGCCTTATAGTTCAGCTGTTCCATTTATAAAACTAGGAGAAAAGTAACTGCTTTTCTGAGTTTCTTTTCCTCAATTTAGCAAAAGGAGGGGAGAGAATACAAATTACCTTTTATTGGCAGTAATCTGTTAGATCAGCTGACTTATCTCTTGACATTCTGTTGGGCTGTAGCTTTATATATGTTTTAAACCAGTTTGAGCCTCTAAGGCTTATTGCATGGGAATGATTCAAAGCTTCATCAAGGGTGGCTCAGACTTCACATTAGGAAGCATTTCTTTACTGAGAGGGTGGTCAAACACTGGAACAAGCTTCTTAGAGAGGTGGTTGATGCCCCATCCCTGTTGGTGTTCAAGAGCCATTTGAAAAATGCCTTTAATAACATGCTTTAACTTTTGGTAAGCCCTGAAGGGGTCAGGCAGTTGGACTAGGTCATCATTGTAGATCCAACTGAAATACTCTGTTCTGTACCTTGTGTCCACCTATTTGTCCTGTATGCTACCACCCTAGCTATTTCCCCATTAACATTTTCTGATTTTGAAGGCAAGTGTGTGTGTTGCTGTAGGATGAATTGCCTTGAGAGTACAGTTCAGGATAAATCTCAATTCAAGAGGGTGAAAGCAGGATAAATTGAACAGGGAAAGGTTGGAACTTGCAGTGACTGTGTAGTATTGTGGCTGTTCTGTGCATAAGTGTGTGCAATTGAGTTTTGAGGTTGGTTTCAGAGCTGCTGTAATGCAGCTGTCATTAAGAAGTATATTTTGGCTCCTTTTTGCACTTGTTTTTGTGCTGTCTTCTAACCAAAATTTATTTCTTGTAAGTTTTTAGTCAGATGGGTTTATTAATCCTACTTTCTATGCAGCTGTGAACACTGTAGGTGCTGAGAATGAGCTGGCATGGAGCAAGTATGTGGGAGGGTAGAACCAAACCTTTTGACTAGAGCTGAGACTAAATGGGTTAAAATAACCGGGTAATTATGGCCAAGTGTTTCCTTTCATGTGTTTCAAGTGTTTTGGCCAGGAGACCTCCTTGGATGGATAAGGAGCTTCTAAGGAAACTTCAAAGGCAAAAAGAGGTTTATAAAAGGTGAAAGCAAGGACAGGTGGCCTGGGGAAGAATACAGCAATGTTGTCTGGGAAGCTAGGGACCAGCTTAGGAGAGCTAAGGCCCAGTTAGAATTAAACTTGGCTAGGGATGTTAAAGATAACAGGAAGGGATTCTGTAGATACATTGCAAATAAAAGACAGACTAGGGACAGCGTGAGCCCTGTCCGGAAGCTCTCAGGAGAACTGGCTACCCTGGATTTGGAGAAGGCTGAGGTTCTGAATGACTTCTTTGTCTCAGTCTTCACTGGCAAATGCTCTGACCACGCCACCCAAGTCTTTCTTGGAAGGCAGACGCAGGGACTGTGAGAATGAAGACCTTGAGCCCACTGTAGGAGAGGATATGGTTTGAGACCATCTTAAGAGCCTGAATGTACAGAAGTCCATGGGACCTGATGAAATCTATCTGTGGGTCCTGAAGGAGCTGGCAAATGAAGTTGCTAAGCCACTGGCCACCATATTTGAAAAATCGTGGCAGTCAGGTGAAGTTGCTGACAATTGGAAAAAGGGAAATATAACCCCCATTTTCAAGAAGGGGAAAATGGATGACCCAGGGAATTAGAGATCAGTCAGTCTCACCTCTGTGCCTGGCAAAATCTTGGAGCACATTCTCCTGGAAGGCAGGCTAAGGCACATGGAAATCAACAAGGTGCTTGGTGACAGCCAGCATGGCTTCACTAAGGGGAAATCCTGCCTGACCAACTTGGTGGCCTTCTATGATGGGGCTACAGAACTGATGGACAGGGGTAGAGCAGTTGACGTCATCTACCTGGACTTGTGTAAGGCGTTCGACACTGTCCCACACGACATCCTTGTCTCTAAATTGGAGAGACATCAATTTGATGGATGGACCACTCGGTGGATAAAGAACTGGCTGGATGGCCGCACACAAAGAGTTGTGGTCAATGGCTCAGTGTCCAGCTGGAGACCGGTAACGAGTGGTGTCCCTCAGGGATCTGTATTGGGACTGGTCTTGTTCAACATCTTTGCCACTGGCATGGACAGTGGGATTGAGTGTGCCCTCAGCAAGTTTGCTGATGACACCAAGCTGTGTGGTTCAGTTGATACGCTGAAGGGAAGGAATGCCATCCAGAGGGACCTCGACACGCTTGTGAGGTGGGCTAATGCCAACCTTATGAAGTTTAACCATGCCAAGTGCAAGGTCCTACACCTGGGTCGGAGCAATCCCAGTCACAGCTACAGGTTGGGCAGAGAAGAGATTCAGAGCAGCCCTGCAGAGAAGGACTTGGGGGTATTGGTCGATCAGAAAATGAACATGTGCCGGCTGCAATATGCGCTCACAGCCCAGAAAGCCAACTGGCTTTCTGCCTGGGCTGCATCAAAAGGAGCGTGACCAGCAGGTCGAAGGAGGTGATCCTGCCCCTCTCCTCTGCTCTTGTGAGACCTCACCTGGAGTATTGTGTGCAGTTCTGGTGTCCTCAACATAAAAAGGACATGGAACTGTTGGAACAAGTCCAGAGGAGGTCCATGAGGATGATCAGGGGACTGGAGCACCTCTCGTATGAAGACAGGCTGAGGAAGTTGGGGCTGTTCAGCCCAGAGAAGAGAAGGCTGTGTGGAGACCTGATAGCGGCCTTCCAGTATCTGAAGGGGGCCTGCAAGTATGCTGGAGAGGGACTCTTCATTAGGGACTGTAGTGATAGGACAAGGGGTAATGGGTTAAAACTTAGGGGAAGTTTAGATTGGATATAAGGATGGAGTTCTTTTCTGTGAGGGTGGTGAGGCACTGGAATGGGTTGCCCAGGGAAGTTGTGAATGCTCCATCTCTGGCAGTGTTCAAGAGCAGGTTGGACGAGGCCTTGGGTGATATGATTTAGCGTAAGGTGTCCCTGCCCATGGGAGGGGGATTGGAACTAGATGATCTTAAGGTCCTTTCCAGCACTAACTATTCTATGATTCTATCTGCTACCTGCTATTATGAAAGCTGGAAAAACTTAAGTCTTGTTAAAACTTCAGCCAAGATTTGTCTTAGTGAGGAAACACCACCTGAAAAATAATCCTCTATTGCTGATTGTAGAGATTGGTCCAAGCAGCCTTCTCCGGAGCTAGAGTGTTTCCAGAGCCAAAACTTACTTAAATGTATGGCATTTCTAGCTCTAGGAAAGTTGAAGTCACATTGTGCAGTCTACATTGTGCAGTTTGCTTTAAACACAGTCGTTGTGTTACGAGCTGTATCCTGTACCTTGCCACTGTTTAAATGCTTTGCATGGCTACTAATAGAAGAGTGCCACAGCTTTAGCAGCCACTTAATGCATTTAACACTACTGTAGAGTGTTAACAGGCTTTCCACCAAGCTTGGGTCTTTTTGAGTTAGATATCCTTTCCAAAAGCTATATAATATTAGTGCTAGAGTACTAAAGAAGAAGGAAGCTAACTGATGGCAGGGAGAGAGGGGCAACAGCTCCACGGCTGTGTGGTGCAGTTGGCATGCTGGAGGGAAGGGGTGGGATCCAGAGGGACCTTGAAAAGGGCATATGCAGATACTTAACCCTCTTGTAAAGGAGGGAGACTGCCTGCTTTTCCATTTAGAGGCTTTAAAGTTTGGATCACATAGGAAATGAAGAGGGTGTTGAATTCACAAGAAGCGAATCTGGTACACCTAGGCCATGTAAATGCCTCTATGCAAACATACGTAGCATGGGGAATAAACAAGAGGAGTTAGAGATGTGTACACACCTCCAGGGCTATGATCTTATTGGCATCACAGAGATGTGGTGGTATGACTCCTATGACTGGAGTGCTGGAATGGAAGGATACAAGCTTTTCAGAAAGGACAGCCAGGGTAGATGAGGAGGGGGAGTCACCCTGTCTGTCAGTGGCCAGCTGAGGTGCATGGACATCTGCCTGGGGGTTGATGAAGAGCTGACTGAGAGCTTATGAGTCAGGATTAAAGGGAGGGCAGAGATAGGGGACATTACACTGGGGATCTGCTACAGGCTGCCTGACCTTTAGCAGGAAGATTGCACGGATGAGGCCCTGTGTAGACAGGAACAGCCTCATGTTCACAAGCTGTGGTCCTCATAGGAGATTTCAACCACCCCACTATCTGTTGGAGGGGCAACACAGCAGGACATAAATAATCCAAGAGGTTCCCAGAATGTGTTGATGAGAACTTCCTTCTTCAAGTGATAGAGGAGCCAATGAGGAGAGGGGTTATGCTGGACCTTGTTTGCACTGAAAAGCAAGGGCTGGTGGGGAATGTGAAGATCAAGAGCAGCTTTGGCTGTAATGATCATGAAATGCTGGAGTTTAGTATCCTTAGGGCTGCAAGGAGGGTGCATAGCAAGCTCGTGACCCTGGTCTTCATGGGAGCATACTTTGGACTTTTCAGGGATTTTTTGATAGGGTATGACATGATAAAGCTCTGGGGAAAAGAGTGGCCCAAGAAAGCTGGTTAATATTCAAGGATCACATCCTTCAAGCTGGTGCATCCCAACAAAGAGGAAGTCAGGCAAGAATGCTAGGAGGTGTGGATGAACAAGGAAGAGCCCAAACACAAAAAGGAAGCTTGCAGAAGGTGGAAGCAGGGACCGGTAGCCTGGGAGGAATACAGAGAAATTGTTAAAGCAGCTAGGGAACAGATTAGGAAAGATAAAGACTGACAGAATTAAATCCGGCCAGGGACATCAAGGGCAACAGAAAAAGCTTCTGTAGGTTATGTTGGTGATAAAAGGAAGACCAGGGAAAATGTGGGCCCTCTCTGGAAGGATATGGGAGACCTGGTTACCCAAGACATAGAGGAGGCTGAGGTATTCACTTACTTTTTTGCCTCGGTCTTCACCAGTAAATGCTTCAGCCACACTGTCCAAATCACGTCAGGAAAAGGCAGGGACTGGAAGGATGAAGAACTGCCCTCTGTAGGAGGTGGTCAGGTTTGAGAGCATCTAAAGAAACTGAACGTGCACAAGACCATGGAAGCTGATGAGATGCATCCATGGGTCCTGAGGGAAGTGGTGGCTGTAGTTGCCAAGCCATTATCCATTATGTTTGAGAAGCTGTGTCAGTTTGGTGAAGATCCACTGACTGGAAAAGGGGAAACATAACCCCATTTTTTTAAAAAGGAAGACCCAGGGAACTACAGGCTGGTCAGTCTCACCTTAGTGCCTGGCAAGTTTGTGAAGCAGATCCTCTTGGAGACTGTGCCACAGAAAATGAGGTGTCTGGTGACAGTCAACATGACTTCACCAAAGGCCAGTTGTGTCTGAAAAATTTGGTTACAGCATTGGCAGATAAGGGAAGAGAGAGTGAAGTAATCTACCTGGACTTGTGCAGAGTATTTGACACTGTCCTGCATGACATCCTTGTCATTAAACTGGAGAGACATGGGTTTGATGGATGGATAGATCACTCGGTGGATAAGGAGGTGTCTGAATGGTTGCACTTGATGTCCAAGTGGAGACCAGTGACAAGTGGTGTCCCTCAGGTTGGTATTGGGTCCAGTGCTGTTCAACATCTTTGTCAGTAATGTGGACAGTGAGATTGAGTGTGCACTCAGCAGGTTTGCCAATGACACCAAGCTGTGTGGTGCAGTCAACACGCTGGAGGGAAGGGACCTTGACAGACTTGAGAGGTGGGCCAGTGCCAACCTCATGAAGTTCAACCAGGCCAAGTGCAAGGTCCTTCTCTTGGGATGGTGCAGGCACAAAACAGGCTGGACAGAGACTGGACTGAAAGCAGCCTTGAGGAGAAAGACCTGGGGATGTTTGTTGACAAGAAGCTCAACACGACCTTGCAATGTATGTTTGCAGCCTGGAAAGCCAACCATGTCCTAGGCTGCATCAAAAAGGGTGTGGCCAGCAGATCGTGGGAGTTGATTCTCCCCCTCTACTTGGCTCTAGTGAGACCCCACCTGGCGTATTGCATTCAGTTCTAGGGCCCCCAGCACAAGAAGGATGTGGATGTGTTGGTGCAAGTCCAGAGGAGGGTGATGAAGATGCTCAAAGGGCTGGAGCACCTCTCCAATGGAAACAGGTTGAGAGAGCTGGGCTTGTTCGGCCTGGAGAAGAGAAAGCTCCAGGGAGACCTTAGAGCAGCTTCCAGTGCGTAGAGGGTCCCCCTACAAGAAATCTGGAGAGGGACTTTTTACAGGGGCCAGTAGTGACAGGACAAAGCAGAATGGCTTTAACCTGACAGAAGGGAGATTTAGGTTAGATATAAGGAAGGAATTATTTACTGTGAGGGTGTTGAGGCGCTGGCACAGGTTGCCTAGAGAAGCTGTGGCTCCCCCATCCCTGGCAGTGTTCAAGGCCAAGTTGGATGGGGCTTGGTGCAACCTGGTCTAGTGGAAAGTGTTGTTGCCCATGGCAGGGGATTGGCACTGGATGAGCTTTAAAGTCCCTTCCAACCTGAACCATTTTCTGATTCAATTCATCATGTGTATTTCATGCCATAGGGGGCATCTTGGTAGACAGATCTTCATTGCCTAAATTAGAATTTAGTACCATGCTAGATTAAGTCCTGAGAAACATGTACTGTCAGGTTTTAATGAACAAAAGTTCAACTGATACACTATATAGCCAGTTTATTTTGTTTTTCAGGGCAGTATGACTGCAATGACTGTGTTTTTTCCTTTGGATACAGCTAGGCTTAGACTTCAGGGTAAGTGTCAATCTCTAGTTTCTTTGAATTATGGTGTTTCTGTTCATCTTGGCTGGGGCACTTGTGAGGGTGGTTGTAGGGGGCCTGTCTTGCATGAACAGGAATCTGACCTGTGCAACACTAACACCATTTAATCACTAACACTGTTTTTCAGCTGAAGGTAATTCTGCCTTTTGGGAGATGGGGCAACTTTTTAACTAGCTGAAAAGCTGTGTGATCTATGGCCAGACATGGCTTTTAAATGGTTATCTAAGAGCAAAAAAAGAAAAATAAAGATGTGAGATTACACAGGATTACATTTGTGTGTTGTTGCTTTTGGCTGCTGAGAACACTTCAAAACACGGGGCAGTATCATGGAAAACTAATCTAGAATTATTCCTGAGGATGGTTTAAAGGGAAAAATCGGGGTTAGAACTGAGAGTGGGAACATCCAGTATCTACACAAATGCATCTGGGTATAAAATTTGTTGTTCTAATGCTCTACCAACTAATCAAAAGTCACAGAATCACCAAGTGTTTTAGAGCTGTGCCTAAAGTGCTATTAAGAACTAGAAGGAGATCATCAGCCAGGTCATCAGAAATCTGTGGTTGAGAAACGAGCACCATGTTGCTGTTGAGCAGCTTTCAGTGAAGGAAGAGACAGTGTTTTGCTAAGGTTTAGCTCTTCGCTTTGCTGGAGGTGCTAGTCTGGAGTCCAAGGCATCATTTTGAGAGCAGTTAGGCAGGCCCAATTCTGGCCTCTTACCTAATGGGAACCTACCTTCATGTTGCAACCATCCAGTTAGGAACATATAATGACAGATACTCCAGTGCACAACAGAATATGCCAGTCTGGCAAAGAATAAAAAGAAAAAAAAATAAGGAAGGAGCTTTACGTAGCAGATGAAATGAAGGAGGCACTTTCTGGTTTTGCTACAGAAATAGGTAACATCTGTTCTTTATGAGGAAATGTGCTTTTCTGGGGTATGTTCAGAGTAGGAAGGATAAGGACTTGAAAATGAGTGCTAAAAATTGGAATAGTGTAAAAGGTCAATTCTTCTGTTTTCCAGTTGATGAGAAGCGGAAGTCTAAGACAACACCAGCAGTCTTACTGGAAATAATCAAAGAAGAAGGCCTGTGAGTAGAATCCAATTTTCTGCTTGTTTTCATGTAGAAAGCTCTAAAACTAGTTTGGATTTGGTTTTAAAGTGGAATAGTTAGCCCATATCTGCGTGGGCACATTTTTACTCTGAATTGTCTTCATGTAAGTGTGATATGATTTGCATCATCTTATGTGTTCATCTTTAGCTGATTTGGATTAATTTTCTTGAGCACTGTATGCAATTGATCTGCTCAGTGGTGTAACTGTGCCTTCATTAGCGAGGTAGCTGTGCCTCCTTAGAAATGCAGGTTTGTACGCAGACGTACTTTCATGTACCTGATAAACCAGCTTCGTCTGCCTGGAATCTTGGGTGTGTCCATTTCTCATAACTAAGATGAAACTCTTGGGCAGCTGAGCCACTTTCAACAGGAGAATTGAGGTATGCTTCCCAGTTGGAAGTTTTCTGTCCTCCAAAGTATGTGCAAGTAAACAAGAAGTAATTCTTTATCCTGGTGAGAGTCAAGATCTATCTAAAAGTGGTTCACTTTCAGCGATGCTGTGCTTTAGCATTTGCCACACAATCTGAGCTGAGCTGGCTGGGAAAACAGCTGTATGCGTGTCTTTGTTACAACTAATTTTCCTAAGTGGATCCGTGGAACTCTTCAGTAGATCAGAGCTTCCAGGACATTGAAGTTGCCGAAAGTTTGGCTTGGCCAGTAATGTTTTGCCAGCTTTGAACTTGAGCGGTTGGTAGTTGCACACACAAGTACTTCTCAGTCAGTTGGTGATCTCTCTTGTTCACGTTCCCTCATTTACTTTGTCACAAGAGGGTGGCAAGTAAACTTTCCTTTAAAAAAAAGAAAGGAAAGAAAGAAGAGAAAAAAAGAAAAGTAAATTGAAGTGGAGAGACTGCAAAAGTGGTCGTCCTACTTTTCCTATGAAACAGAAAAAAAACAGTAATTCTAGCAAGAGGGGAACATTGTTACTTCCAAAGGTTTTGGGAAGGCCTGGCTAAGCAATGAATGATACTATAGTTTTAGGGATGTATCTGAGACAACGAAAAACCCAAACCAACAATAAATCTGAAATGTGATGCAAGATCATAAGCTTAAACAGGGGAAGTTCAGGTTAGATCTAAGGAAGAAGTTCTTTACTGTGAGGGTAGTGAGGCACTGGAACAGGTTGCCAAAAAAAGTGGTAAATGCTCCATCCCTGGCAGTGTTCTAGGTCAGGTTGGACAGAGCCTTGGGCGACACGGTGTAGTGTGAAGCATCTGTGCCCGTGGCAGGGGTTGGAACTAGATGACCTTAAGGTCCTTTCCAAGCTGAACCATTCTGTGATTCTGTATTGTTTGTGTGAGTTTGTAGACACATCACACTTTAGTGAGACTGCTTTTCTTACCTAGATAAAGCAAATGGGTTTAGCTAATGGACATTCTGTAGAAGTTTTATTAAACAGCTTTGCTTTCATCCTTTTCTAGGTCAGATGAAAGATGTTCACTGGTATACACTGAGTTTTCCTCAAGGTTACAGGTTAGGTTTTAAGTTAAGTTTTATTTGTGTGCAGAAGGATCTGTGTGAATTACAGGTGATAGCACTGACAACTCAAGTCATTAAAATAAACTATAGTTTCTTGTCTTGGTTTTGTGTTTTGTACTGCAAGATGTTTAATTTGAAAATCATTAGAAGTTTTTCTTACTAAATCAGGCAAAACCAAACTAAACCTCTCAGAGGCCATGGCCCTTAAAGGGTGTTTCTCCCTTTCTTTTTCAGCACAGAAAAGATAGGTGATGCAAAAATTGTTTTAATTCTACCCATGGCTAACTGTATAGTCAGTTAACTTGTAACTGTTGGGTTAGCTAAGCCTGAAGCTTCAGAGACACTCTTAATACTGTGCTGTATTCCCACCTACATGGAAGGGAGGAGCACTTGATGCATCCAAGATGAAAACCTGGCATTATAAGAACAGTCAGATGCTGAGGTGAGTAGCTCGAGAGAGGACACCTTCAACACCGAAGCGGGGGGGAGATCAGCATCCAAGAGCCTCAACTCAGAGTGACAAGAGCCACCGAGGGAGCCTCAAGTCCTCCACAGGACCTGCCCAGGAGCCAGCAGCTCAGCTGACACGAGCAGCTGACTCACATGGGGCGGAGTCTGAAGCAGTGGCACCAGCCCTGACTGGTTAAAAACCTGCCCCAGGGAATGCAAGCGATCAGGAGCGTGCCAAACAAAGTGGGTCGAGGCAGTTCGCGCAGGCAGGCGAGCGGGATGGTGAGCACTGGCTGTATGACCAGGGCCTGGTCCGGCAGCTCTGCTCTGGCTGCCCCGGCGGTGGCCAGCGTAGGCACCCAGACAGAGCAGATGAGAGGGGAGGCTGCAGTGCAGAGCTCGGGGTGTAGAGAGTGCCTGCACTGGTCTGGTGAGGGGAGGGTGCACAATGGGCAGGGCTGCACTCGGTGCTCCCTGGTGGAGGTCCTCCTGCAGCAGGTGGCTGAGCTGCGGGATGCTGTTAATAGGCTGTGAGATGTCAGGGAAGCTGAGAGTAAGCAGGAATGCTTGTTCCTGGCCCAAACTGTGCAGGGGCCTTGAGCTTCACCTCTAGCTCATGAAGGAAAGAAGGAGGCCTTTAACCTGGGAAGCTGGGAATTAGTGACAAAAAAAAAACAAAAAAAAAAAAACCCAAAAAAGCAGGAAAAGGACAACCAAAAGCAAGGGGCTTCCCCCTAAATCCCCTGTCCCCACGCAGAACTGCTTTGCTGTCCTGCAGGGGGCTAATGAGGGAACGCACTTGAGCCAGAAACAGCCTGCTGATGCCCTGGTAAAGAAGATCTCTACTGGTGCTGCTAGGAAAAGGTGGCAGGTCATAGTAGTAGGGGACTCTACACTGAAAGGGACAGAAGCACTTGTCTGCTGGCCAGACCCCGTCTCAAGGGAGTTGTGTTGCCTACCGGGGGCACGGATCAGGAATGTGGCAGAGAGGCTGCCTGCTCTAGTAAGTCCCACGGACTATTACCCACTCCTGGTGATACATGTGGGTGCTAGGGATATAGACAGTAGCAGCCTGGGGAACATAAAGAAGGACTACAGAGCCCTGGGGGAGGTGGTTAGGGGCTCTGGAGCTCAGATAGTCCTTTCATCAATTCTCCAGGATACAGGGGAGGACCTAAAAAAAGCTAGGAGGATTAGTCAGGTTAAAATGGTTAAAAGGGTGGTGTCATAGTCAGGGGTTTGGGTTCCTTGAACACGGGACCCAAGTTTGTAGGCCAGGTCTAGTGGGGGCCGGTGGAGCTGGTCTGATAAAGAAGGGAAAGAGCAGTTTTGTAGGAGGCTTGCCAGACTGGTCAAGGAGGCTTTAAACTAGATGTGTTGGGGGAGGGGGGCATCATTCCATCCCAACACACCCAGTCAGTTGCCAGCACCTGTAATAAATGGTCAGAGCAATGTAGAGATATCCCAGCCGCTCCAGCCAATGAGCCGGCTTCATTTGGAGCTCGGCTCAGATGCCTCTATACAAACACCCGTGGCATGGGGAGCAGACAAGAGGAATTAGAGATGTGTGCACGTCTGCGGGGGTATGATATAATAGGCATTGCAGAAACGTGGTGGGGTGGCTCCTATGACTGGAGTGTTGGAATGGAAGGTTACAGGCTCTTTAGAAAAGACAGGCCTGGCAGGCAAAGAGGAGGAGTTGCCCTTTATGTTAGGGATAGGCTGGAGAGTATGGAACTCTGTCTGGGGACAGGTGAGCAGTCCACAGAGAGTTTGTGGGTCAGGGTTAAAGGGAATATAGCTATGGGAGACATTACTGTGGGGATCTGTTACAGACCGCCTGATCAAGGAGAACCTGCGGATGAAGCACTCCATAGACAGATAGGAAAAGCCTCATGCTCACAAGCCCTTGTTCTCATGGATGACTTCAACCACCCTGACGTCTGTTGGAAGGACAGTACAGCCCGGCACAAGCAATCCAGGAGGTTCCTTGATTGTGTAGAAGACAGCTTCCTTCTACAAGTAATAGAGGAGCCGACAAGGAGAGGTGCCATGCTTGACCTCGTGCTCACCAACAGGGAAGGACTTGTTGGAAATGTGACACTCCAGGGCAGCCTTGGATGCAGCAATCACGAGATGCTCGAATTTGAGATCCTCAGGACAGTGAGAAGAGCGTGCAGCAAGCTCACTGCCCTGGACTTCAAAAGAGCAGACTTTGGCCTCTTCAGGAACCTGCTTAGTAAGGTTCCATGGGATACAGCCCTAGAGGGCAGGGGGGCCCAAGACTCTTGGTTGATATTCAAGGATCACCTGCTACAAGCTCAGGAGTGTTGCATCCCAACTAGAAGGAAGTGCAGCAGGAGGGCCAGGAGACCTCCTTGGATGGATAAGGAGCTCCTGAGGAAAATTCAAATGAAAAAAGAGGCTTATAAAAGGGGGAAGCAAGGACAGGTGGCATGGGAAGAGTACAGGGATGTTGTCTGGGAAGCTAGGGACCAGGTTAGGAAAGCTAAGGCTCAGTTAGAATTAAACTTAGCTAGAGGTATTAAAGATAACAGGAAGGGATTCTACAAGTACATAGCAAATAAAAAACAGACTAGGGAGAATGTAGGCTCCCTCAGGAAGCTCTCAGGAGAACTGGCTACCCTGGATTTGGAGAAGGCTGAGGTTCTGAATGACTTCTTTGCCTTGGTCTTCACTGGCAAAGGCTCTGACCAAACCAGCCAAGTCTTGGAAGGCAGACGCAGGCACTGTGAGAATGAACCTTGAGCCCACTGTAGGAGAGGAACTGGTTCAAGACCATCTTAAAAATCTGAACATGCACAAGTCCATGGGTCCTGATGAGATCCATCCGTGGGTTCTGAAGGAGCTGGCAAATGAAGTTGCTAAGCCACTGGCCACCATATTTGAAAAATCATGGCAGTCAGGTGAAGTTCCTGACGATTGGAAAAAGGGAAATATAACCCCCATTTTCAAGAAGGGGAAAATGGATGACCCAGGGAATTACAGACCAGTCAGTCTCACCTCTGTGCCTGGTAAAATCTTGGAGCAGATTCTCCTGGAAGGCATGCTAAGGCACGTGAAAATCAACAAGGTGCTTGGTGACAGCCAGCATGGCTTCACTAAGGGGAAATCCTGCCTGACCAATTTGGTGGCCTTCTATGATGGGGCTACAGAACTGATGGACAGGGGTAGAGCAGTTGATGTCATCTACCTGGACTTGTGTAAGGCGTTCGACACTGTCCCACACGACATCCTTGTCTCTAAATTGGAGAGACATCCATTTGATGGATGGACCACTCGGTGGATAAAGAGCTGGCTGGCAGGCCGCACACGAAGAGTTGTGGTCAATGGCTCAGTGTCCGGCTGGAGACCAGTAACGAGTGGTGTCCCTCAGGGATCGGTGTTGGGACCGGTCTTGCTCAACATTTTTGCCACTGACATGGACAGTGGGATTGAGTGTGCCCTCAGCAAGTTTGCTGATGACACCAAGCTGTGTGGTTCAGTTGATACGCTGAAGGGCAGGAATGCCATCCGTAGGGACCTTGACATGCTTGTGAGGTGGGCTGATGCCAACCTTATGATGTTTAACCATGCCAAGTGCAAGGTCCTACAGCTGGGTGGGAGCAATCCCAGTCACAGCTACAGGTTGGGCAGAGAAGAGATTCAGAGCAGCCCTGAGGAGAAGGGCTTGGGGGTGTTGGTTGATGAGAAAATGAACATGAGCCGACTGCAGTGTGTGCTTACAGCCCAGAAAGCCAACCGTATCCTGGGCTGCATCAAAAGGAGTGTGGCCAGCAGGTCGAAGGAGGTGATCCTGCCCCTCTCCTCTGCTCTTGTGAGACCTCACCTGGAGTATTGTGTGCAGTTCTGGTGTCCTCAACATAAAAAGGACATGGAACTGTTGGAGCAAGTCCAGAGAAGGGCCACGAGGATGATCAGGGGACAGGAGCACCTCTCGTATGAAGGCAGGCTGAGGAAGTTGGGGCTGTTCAGCCTGGAGAAGAGAAGGCTGCGTGGAGACCTCATAGCAGCCTTCCAGTATCTGAAGGGGGCCTATAGGGATGCTGGAGAGGGACTCTTCATTAGGTACTGTAGTGATAGGACAAGGGGTAATGGGTTAAAACTTAAACAGGGGAAGTTTAGATTGGATATAAGGAGGAAATTCTTTCCTGTTAGGGTGGTGAGGCACTGGAATGGGTTACCCAGGGAAGTTGTGAATGCTCCATCCCTGGCAGTGTTCAAGACCATGTTGGATGAGGCCTTGGGTGATATGGTTTAGTGTGCGGTGTCCCTGCCCATGGGAGGGGGGTTGGAACTAGATGATCTTAAGGTCCTTTCCAACCCTAATTACTCTGTGATTCTATTCTATGATTCGATGCTGCATTTACCATCCTTGCACCTTTTATAGTCTCCTTCTTGGGGATCCTTATATTCTGTGTGTTCTCAATATTCTGATGAATACTAAAGTGCCTCCATGATTACTGCTAGCTGTTGAAGAGATTTCTTATGCACTTAATATGATACCAGTTCTCTACCTGTCCCATGCAATATCAGTGTACGGTGTGTATCATTATCTCTTTCTGGATATATTGTAGAACATGCTGTTGAATTGTCCTTTTTTTACAGGCTCTTCAGGCCTGCCAGAGAAGGGAGCTTTGTTAGTCAGGTGTTATGAAATCATTTTTAAATTAAGATAGATTTAGATGATACACAATGATGATTACTCACAACACCTCAAAAATAACACAGCTGTGAATCATAAGGCAGTATTCAGTTTTTCATCTATTTGATTGATCTTGTTAAATTTCAGTAGGTGATATCTGTTTCTTGCTTACCTGACTGATTTGCTCTAGATTTTAATGGAAGACATTTGTTAGAAATTCCTTTCACCTGGAGATCTCATATGTCTTATGTCTCAGGTTGCATCCTTTGGAAAACTCCTCTTGGTGAAATACATTCATTTCAGTAATTAGTCTTCTGGTTTGAAACGTTATGTGAGAATCCAGACATTTTTTTCTTCTTAAGTGTTTGGGGTGTTTTTTAAATTTTTTTTATTTATTTTGTATTGAATGGGTAGTTGTCTTTTTATTTTTTGTCCAGCTTTATTAAGCATTGCTTTGTTTCCTTAGAGATTTGAGCATCTCTTTACTGTTTTTTTTTCTTTTGTATTGGACTGATGACCCTGTTTCTCAACAAAGATGAGAATTCTTGTCATGCCTTTGTGTGTTTTAGTACTCGGTTTGGACTGATAGTATGTATGCTAACGTACAGACTGCAAACATGTATTCATCCCTGGATGTTTGTAATTCACTGCTGGTTGTTGGTAGAGAGCAAATATGGTGGTAATACTAACTTTTGGAGTGAGTGAGCCCCAAGCTTCTCACTGTAAATATATTGTACCTCTACAGCTCCTTTTCAGTGCAGTTATTCCTGATTACTACAATTCATATATACAAGTGTTTAAGGGGGTTTTGTTTGTTTTTTGTTTTGTTTTGGTTTTATGGTGCAGTCAGAAGTTTAGTATGGTTTGTTACCATTATTGATAAAGACATATCTAGTTAGTGTTGCATGTAGAATACCATATTATGTCTCTGAGACCATCCATGTAACATCAACCAAATCAGAAATATTTTGCTGATCCTGATGACTTTTTCCTCTCCATTAGGTTGGCACCATATCGAGGATGGTTCCCTGTTATCTCCAGCCTTTGCTGTTCCAATTTTGTTTATTTTTATACATTTAATAGTCTTAAAGGTCTCTGGGTCAAAGGTCAGCATTCAACCACTGGAAAAGACTTGGTTCTTGGGGTTGTTGCAGGTAAGACTGAAAAACCTCAATTTAATCCAAAATTGATTTTTAGTATATCTAATATTTTTGTTTATGAAGTCCAGTGGAGATCACACTGAGTGCTTACACGTCCCACTGTATGTAGAGCTGCTTCGCTGTACAGATCTGATTTGCTTGTGTGTCCTCCCTGCCTCATAAGTGCATAAACTGTTCTACAGTGAATTCTGGCACAAAGCACAGTATTTTATTTGTCTGGTGTGTTCTTTACCATGGTGTCTAAGCATCATTATTGAGATTTTGAAGACAAATGGCAAGGGAAGGTGATAGTTTATTTCAGAGGAAAACACATATATGCCAGTTCTAAGATATTTTCAATTATGGTAAGTAAGTTTTTAATGTAAGCATTTGGGTGTCTCTTTTCAGACCTTTTTAGGGTTATCAACTGAAAGTGACAGAAAGTACCTAGATATATTCAGGTCAAGTGGGACTATATGTTCTTTTTCATCCCTACTTCTCATGTGGATGCTAGAGTGTTTTTTTTTGAAGGGATGATGACATTAAGTGGCTTTTCTAGCAAACCCAGTGTGAAAAATCACTACCGTGTGCCTGTGTTTGCCAGTAATATTCCACAGGAACAATTGCTCGTGCAACCATACTGAAAGAAGCTGATTTAACAAAAAATTCTGCATGAAAGGCTTGTGAGGTAGTGGGTAGGGGGAGGCTTTTTGTTTACTTTTTGGTAGTTTCTTGTACTTTCAGTGTCACAATGAATGGCTGAATAGTCGGGGGAAAGTAAGGAAGGAAATTCTTAAGTTGGCTTTATACATTCTGGAACAAAGGCTACAGGAATTAGAGTAACAGCTTGTTAGCTAAATGACTTCTTCAGTGTCAGTAGATTATATCCTTATAGTGGAATAGTATCTGGTATAAATTGAAAAATTCCACTTAAGGCGTTTACTAATTCTTTCTACCTACCTTTCATTCCTACTACTGCTAGCAAATATAGATTAGGAAAATACATTAAAAAAACAAAACCAAACCACACAAAAAACCACCAGAACAAACAAAAAAACCCAAAAATGTTTCCAGTCTGGAAGATAAAGTTTTATGACTTTTTCTTTTAACTAGGTCTTGGTGAAAAATTACAAATAGATTGTGCTCTAACCTTTTCCTCCTTAATGTAATCACATTGACTTTGGTTAAGAGAGATTAATGCAGCTTGCCTTTTCTAGTTCTTGATTTTGTTCAGAACATCTTTGGAGAGCTCACTGTAGTCCTTATGAAGGATACTGAAATATATTTATGTTTATATTCTGCTTTTCTGAACCCTCTTTAAGGAAAAGAAAAAGAACAAAGAGGCACAATGTAGGTGGTAAAGTGTCACCTTTGTCAGATTTACTGTTCCTCATAGTATCTCAGTGTTCCTGATGTATCTCAGTGTAACTCAATCTGTCACTTGGATTCCTACCAAAGCAACCAATGTAGAAGCAATTGCTAATTTCTGTGATGCAGAAATATTAGTAAGAAAGATCAGAAACTTGTTTTTACTTAGTTACTTCAAAGTAAGTGCCTCTGTCATTACTGGACAGGAGAGATCAGTGTCAGGTGATTGCAGAAGGGATGTCACTTAATGCTTTTCCCTGTCTGTTTAGAGCTGTATTTTGCAGCACCTCCTTTTTTTTTTTTTTTTTTTTTTTTTTTCAGCCTTATGTATGCTTGTCTATTTTTTTTACCCCATCCTACTTTCTGGTACTCAACTTTCAAGCTTTACTGCTGGGTTTTGTTATTGTGTGTAATCTCTTGCCACTCTAAGCCTTACTTAGAATATTTGCAGAATCCTGTGTTTTCCACCTTCAGTGTACTTAGCGAATCTAAAAGCTAGATATTCTCATTCTTTTGGCAGTGTAGGAGCTCTGTTCTGGTAATCAAGCTACATGCATTTATCTGTTTTGATCTCTCATTATAAAATAATCCTTCTAACATTACCACTGTGTTTCTGAAAGTAAGCAGGCAGCAAGTCATAATGGAGTGAAGTAAGACATGAAAAAGTAGAGCATCTTGTGCTCCAGTGTGGTGTTGTATGCAGCAAGATAACAAGTTCACTTAAGATTCCTTCAGCATGTTCACATTTGGTGTATTTTGTTGTCTGGTGTGACCTTTTGTTGGGTTTTGTTTGGTTAGTTGGTTTGGGTTTTTTTTGTGTTATTTTTGGGGAAGAGTAGCAGGGATGTCTTCCCGCTGTGTGCAGTGGTGGTGGCACTGTGGGCGATACCTGAAGTACCTCATTAAAAAGTACCTGTACCTTTCCCATATGCTGTGTTAATTGCATTTCCTTCTTCCTACCAGTAATTTCAGTAGCCTGTGAATCAGGGTAAAACTAAATAAGAAAACATTTGAAATTATCTTCTGGTTCTTGCTGATTTTTTTGTGCTGTGTTTTGTATTAGGTGTAGTGAATGTTCTCTTGACCACTCCTCTTTGGGTGGTGAACACGCGTCTGAAGCTGCAGGGAGCAAAATTTAGAAATGAAGACATCGTACCAACCAATTACAAAGGCATAATAGGTAAGCGCCTGTTATTGTCTTCAACCAAAGAAAAGTTCATTAAATTAAATATATCAAGGACTGTGAAGTTTGAAGGCTTTTGTTCACATAACTGATTTCACTCTGGAATCTGTATGCTTCCCTTCTGCTTTGCTGTATTTGAGTTTTGCAGGAAACTGGCCGTGACTGTTTCTGATGGTAATTAAGAGTTTATAGTATGCATACCTGTAACTAAAACACCTTTTGTAAAGGCAGGTATCTTATCATAGAAATACTGGAGTAGTAGTGAGATCAGTGAGGTGGTAGTGGGGGTCTGAGTTTGGACAGACAATTTGCAGATTAAACTTCACTCACTTTAATCTCTTCCTCACCCACATGTTCAGGCTGTCTTCCTTTTAAAAATATAAATATATATTGTTGTAATTTTGAGGAAGGTTTAGAAGACCTTAATGTTGATGCTGAGCTTGTACTAAAGAAAGCAAGATATCTGTGCAGGTGATAAGCTTTGTTTATGTTACGGTGATATGTGCAAGAACCTCCTTTGTCACTGTTTTTCTGTTAAATTTCAGATTAGAATGGAAGATTAAACAGTCACAGAAAAGACTGCAGTGGACTTTTAAACACTTGGAATTTTATGCTTTAACTTTTCTTACCTCCTACAGTCAGAATTTTGTACTCAAAATTTTAATGATTCCTCCCTTCCCCCCTTTCTTCTCAGATGCCTTTCATCAGATAATACGAGATGAAGGAGTCTTAGCTTTATGGAACGGTACTTTCCCCTCCTTGCTTCTGGTCTTCAATCCTGCCATACAGTTCATGTTTTATGAAGGCTTTAAACGGAAGCTTTTGAAAAAGCAGCTGCAAGTGAGTATGTTTTGAGGCCAGTTCATATCAATATGTTAAAAAGTCATCTTTTTTCCTCAGGAGATTATTTTTACATGAGATCTTGCATCATAAATGAGGCTTGGGTTTTTACCATCTTTAGCCAGTACTGCAGCTGTAGCACTCTGCTTGTGCCTGGTGGATCTGTCTGGTTACATGATGGACAATACATCTTTTGAATTATGAGCTTCCCTCTGCGTCATTATTTGCCTGCTGGCTAATTGCTATATTTATTTCTCATGTTTCTTTTAAGTAACTTAATTCCATCTTAAATTAGGGTATGCTTTGTCCGTGATCAGTGGAGAAGGAAAATACATTTTTCCCCTGGCACTGGTTACTTTTATTTTTGACAACATTTTTCTCCCTATTTGATCTTTTCTTTATTGTCTTAAGTATATCAGATTGACTTCTGTTTTCTTATGATCTGCATGAGTGTGCATATTTCTGATTGCAGTCAACATATTTTGCAAATGTGGAGCATGTTTTGAAATGGGCACGTACTTACTTTCAGTGATTAATTCAAGCTGTTAGACTGAGATAGGCTGTAATCAGTGAGGCTGTAACTATGTATTTGGTACATGGTGGAACACTCTGGGCTTTGGAGGTGAGTTTAGGCTTCCAGGTAGTGTTCTTATGGGAGGAGATTTTTAGCCTATGTCATCAAGACTAAAATTCTGCCTGATAGCGTAGTGATTACATCTCAGGATTATAGAGTGGTGTTCAAGGGGTCTTCTACTATGACCTTTTCACAAGTGCTGTGTGACTTGTTGATTTAAATGATGCAAAAGCTGAAGTACTTACTGATTGATGGTATACTTAAATGCTATCTCCTGGTCTTTTGTCTACTCTTGGTGCTTTAAATTGGTCTAGTTGTATGGCTTTCTCCACTATGTTTTAGTAGCCTAGTTATAATGAGAAATGCAAAAGCTTGTGAGTAGGTAGAAACTACAAATAAACATTAGTTGTGGGAAAGTAAGTTGGCTGAAGTATAACTAACTCTTTAAAATGAGGAGATGCAGATACTTTGTGAGATCTGTATGCCAAAGATACTTAGACAGCCCCACAGCAGGTAGCAATACAGAACCCTCAAATGCATATGAGTAATGACCGTTTCAGTGCTGTGTGGAAGTAATATGTTCTTTATCTATTGAACAGCTCACATCTTTGGATGCTTTTGTCATTGGTGCAGTAGCCAAAGCAGTTGCCACCACCCTCACTTATCCTCTGCAGACAGTACAGTCAATTCTGCGGGTAAGTAATAATTTCATTCCAGTGTAGCTGCCTCTGACTTGTTCTGTATAATGCAAGCCTTTTTCATATGGCTTATTCTTCTTGATGTTAATTAACTCTTTAGTTTGGGAAATCCTTTTGCAGAGTGCAGGCCACTGATAAGGATGCCTCTCTTTTTTGATTCTGTACTGACAGATTCTGATAGAACTTGGTATTACTGGTGCATATCTGTTGCAAACAGTCAGTAGGGTTGATAACATAATGCATTGGTATAGTGTCTCACAGAGGATGGTGCACCATACTACACAAATGTAGCTTTTCCTCTTTGAATATAAATAGAAAACATGTCAAGTGGGAAGTTAAAATTAAATCCTTTAAACCCGGTTTGTTTCCAGATGACCTAGGGTAATCCAGGAAAGTTCTGTTCATAGGTTTGGTTTTATTCACATGATGGCCTGACATTGTCAGAAGCCAGAATATGATTCATCAGGGGATGCTGAGCTCCCTCATAAATAATACCTTTAACCACTTGTCTGGCCTTGTACGCTAATTGTAATGGTAATGGAAACCATTGCATTTATTCTCACTTGTGATTTGTAAGTATGCTGGATAGTGCTGCTACCTTCAGTGTGTACTAGTACATAAGTATATTCTGTGATTTTTAATCTCTTTTTGTTTCTTGATGGTTTCTATAACAGCTAAATATTAAGAAATGTTACCTCGTGAAATATGCTACTTTCCTAAGGAAAAGCCATAACTTGCCTGTATGTTAAAGCCATTATATATGTTCTAAAACTTGCACGAATTTGGAGAATTAGTTGAACATGAGCCTTCCATGCCTAGTGTCTAGTCTTATCTAGTGGATTTTTCTTGTTAATTGTTCATCTGGAAAAGTGATTTTCATCTAAGTTTTATAATTGTTTTAGTTTTTCTTCTCTCTGATTAGAGTGGGCTTACATATATTTTGCTTTTTGATAACCTGTAAAAAATTAGTTTGGATGCTATATTTCTAACTAGCAAGATTTGAATATGTTTACTGTGTGGTATTGCTACCCTGAAGACACTAGATAAAAGTCTCTTCACAGCTTTCTACTTCAACACCCGAATGGTGCAAGATGGCATCTGCATTGTAGATGTGTGAGCCACGTGTTAATTTTGTCAGCAGTCATCTTTTCTGAAGTTTTCATAACTTTTGATGATCAGTGCCTTCATTCAATGTCTTGCCCTGTTTTAATAGCCTGGACACATCTCAGGAATTAAAAGTAGTAACACAGGCTTCTATTACTGAAGTGACAGATACAGAAAAATATTTAACAAATACAGCTTTGTGTGGAGAAGTTGCAACATCAGTCTGTTCCCAATTGATGCATTTTCTGCTGGTGTGAAGGAGAACTGGAAAGAAGGTTGGAGTGATCTATTTTAGCCTTAGCATTGCACAGCAGTGCAATTTTCATTGGGCTACGTCAATATAACAACTTCAACCCTCATTCCTTTCTGTAGTTGCTATAGAAGTGGTTGCAATTTTGTGACTATTATTTCATGTTCTGTCTATCTCCTTTTGGCTTTTTGAACAAAATTCTTCCCTCTCTTGCTGACAGCGTTATCCTTTAAAAACAGGGCTGCTCTGGTACATTGTGCTGCGAGTTTGATGTACTCAGCAGCTGCTGATTACTGCTCACCTCAGCTGAAGCCAGTTAGTTCACTGCTGGCTTGCCACGGTCAGTTGCCTTTCTGCTAGAGCACAGCTAACCATCAGCAGCCTGGTGGTAGGCTTTTTCTCACAGTGGCCCACTGAAATAAAGTGGCCTATATGCTACTTCTCAATGCCAAACCATTCTCTCACTGTGATGATGGGGAATACAAGAACCCTATCTCTAGTTCTGCAGTCTCTATGGAGGACTTGTTTCTGTTTGCTCTATGAAAGAAGTAATAGCCAGAAACCCTGAACACTTCTGGCGAGAACAGCGGAAATGTGCATCTGTGATACCTGTGCTGTCCAGTTCAAACTTTTTCTACTTCATAATTAATCGTAGAATACCAGGTTGGAAGGGACCTCAAGGATTGTCTGGTCCAATCTTAATGTGTTTTCTAATCTAAAGCTAGCATTGTTATATTTGATGATGCTTTTGTCACTCACACTGATATATATATATATATATATATGAAAAAGGTTATAAATAAAGGTTTAGTAGTTTCAGAAATATTCTGTGTGAAGCAACATTTTGTATAGTTGTGGGGTTATTTGAAACAATTTTAGCAGATTTAAGCACAAGCTAATACAATCTCTGTTCATGATTTATAAAAAACTTATGGTAATCATTAAATATGAATCATTAAATATTATTCATAAACTTAAACATAATTAAGTTCTATCATCAAAGTAGAAGTACAGGTCTCTTTTTCAATCCTAAGCCTTTAGAAGCTTACTATTATTTGAAAGTTACTAGGGTTCTTTGTAAAGAAGTCACTGAACATTTGCTTTCAGCTTTTTGACAAAACATTCTTCTTGCTTCCATACAATGAGCAGTTACCCTGTGTAATGGATAGCAGTCAGCATGTTCCAGCCTTGCCATGTCTGTGTCATTTTCAGTAATTAAAAACACACGGGACAAGGCTTACTTATTAGGCATTGAAACTGTTCTTTAGTTTATGTGTTGGTAAAGAGTGGATGAATTAAATTTGCACTGGAGAAATAGCAATAGTGTTAATGTTCTTAGTCATACTGGGTGAAAGCGTTCTTGTTAAAACTCAAGCCTCTTTTCTCCAGTACAGAGAATGCCAGTCCTTTTGGGAAATCTTCTGCAGTAATCGGTGAAGTATTGATGACCTCCAGAGAAAGTAACTTTTTTTTTCCTTTTGATGAAGCTTTGTTTACAGTACAAAAATGGTCCAGTGGCAGAGAAAAAAGGAGAAAGAAACACCTAATCCTGGAGTTGTTTGGAAGCCTATAAGTAATCTGGGCAGTGACTAGCATTGTTGCTTGGAACATAGTTAGCAATTTTTGGGGGTGTGTCTGAGTCTTTGACAGTAATCCTTAGCACTGATTTCTGAATATCAAATGAGTTACTTGTTGATAAGAAGATAGTGGATTGTGAGCAAATATTTGCCTAATAAAGGGAGATTTCCAACAATGTTCTGTCACTGCTGTTTCAAAGTCTTTGAGACATAGTGAAGAGACCTGTGTCATCCTGGCATTTTCTTACAATTTCTGAACTGCCTCAGTCTGTTTGCGTACTCTATCTACTGTCAGTGGTAATTTCTTACACCAAAGAAGTAGCAGTTGTCTGAGTAAGTTCTGGGTGAAACTCATCCACAGGCAGTTGCTCAAGTTCACCTTTCTTAGCACAGAAGCATAATACAGGTAAAATAGCTTCAAAAGCTGTTTGGCTATGTTGTTACAAATACAAGTGTGGCAAGCCTTGTATATTAATAATTCATGGTTACAGCTTGCACAGTTCTGTCAATCTGTGTCAAATAAGAGTGTCCATGAATCCTAGAAAAGGAGTTGCTGACATTGCTAGTTTAACTCTGAGACATAAAATTACAGCAGCAGCTATCATGCCTGCTGAAAAACAGTTTGTGCATAAGCAAATGCAGTAAGAGAGTATTATTTAGACCAGGTAGGTGGATCAAACAATTTTGGATTCTTCCACAGCAGTTCACATGTAAATGTTTTGCTCTGAGATGCATCACTGGGCAGATGAATTTTGGGTTCAGCTCTGCAATCTCAGTGTAATAATGGTTTGTAGGTGTATGAGGCTTTGAATCTTTGTGAAATGAAAACTCTGCAAGCCAGAAGTTGTTTTGAATATCATGTCCCTGCTAAGGTTGCAAATTACACTTTTAAGATCTTGAAAACTGTTTCCTCCAGAGCAATTGAAAGAGAGCATATATGGCTATGTGTAATTTCTTAGAATCCATCTTAAAATGAAAACCAATTACTGTAGCAAATAGTTTTTAGTGCTTTCTGTGTAAAGTTCAGTAGTGTCAGCTTTGGCCTCAGTTCTTCACTGATAGCTAGTACAACCTGGAAGATGTTAAAAGAGGTTTAAGATAGGCTTTCCAGATTTCACATGTGTTGGGTTCTTTGCCCAGCACCATGGAGAAATAGTGAAACAAAATGCTCTGCCTTTATTTGTTTTCCAGTTTGGACACCACAGGTTGAACCCAGAGAACCGAACTCTAGGCAGTCTTAGAAACATTCTTTACCTTCTTCAACAGAGAGTGAGGTGAGTTTTCTGTGTTGTTTTTTTTTTTCTAACATGATATAGCAGACATGAGTATTACTAATATGTTGAAAATGTCATTGGATCTACATTGGGGGGGGTTACCTCCCTTAAACTTGCCATTTGAATCAACCTGGTTTTTGTAATATTGCAGAATAAGTACACAAACACAAATTCTTCTAAATATCTGTACAGTAACTGGTATCAAGGATATCTGTGGATATCAGTTCACCTCTCATCTTGAAAAGAAGCAAGTTTCTTGCACAGAAGACAACTTTCTGCAGAATTTTCTCTTTAAAATATTATTAAACATAGCTGGCACTCTAGATCAAGAATGAATTTAAGATTCTTATGTTGTGATTAATTGTGATATTAATTGTTCTTTGTAGTGTACTGATTTACTTATAGGGGGCTAGTCACACGTTTTCTTGTTGGCTTGTTTTCTTTCTTAGGCGTTTTGGATTAATGGGACTCTACAAAGGCCTTGAAGCAAAGCTCCTGCAGACAGTCCTCACTGCTGCTCTTATGTTTCTAGTGTATGAGAAACTGACTGCTGCAACCTTCACAGTCATGGGATTAAAGCATTCTCGCAGGCATTGAAAAAGGGACCTATGCCAAAGATTATGGGGTCTAGAAAACACATACTGTTTCTAAGACCAGACTGGGTAACAAAGGGTGCTCACTTCCTCTATTTCTTTTTAGCCATCTCCATTATTTGGAGAAATTTGGAATACACTCTATAGGGCCTGTTATCAGGAGTTCAGGAATAGCCCATTCCTTATTCTTCTGTGGACTCATGGTGTTAAGGAACAAAGCAGAGACCTTATTTAAGCAGTTGATGTGAGATTTTAATGGTTTGGTTGACATTCTTGACAAGAACTAGTCTCTCTCACTTTGCTTTCTTGTTTTCCCTCAAATAATCCTTAACTATTCTTCTACCTTTACCTTCTGTCAGCAGCTGCTGGGGCTGGTTTTATGCTATTCCTTGTCCTGTGTTTATGTCAATTCTTAGGTGGTTCATTAAAATAGTTCATAAATAACAAGGTTTTTGACATGGTTTTCTTTTAACTTCAAGTATGTTTGTATCACAGGATGATGGGATATTGTCCTGAATATCTGGTGGTGAGATTTCTGTACTGCTAGAATGTGCATTACCAGTGAATAGGTATGCTGCCTTCTTGAATCCACCCATTTTTAATCCTGAAAATTTCAAATGAGGATACTGACTAGATAGGAAGAACATAACCTCTTGCTTTTTCAAGATGAGTACCTCCGGCTGCCTCAAAAATGGACTTCCTGCTCAGAAATACATGAAGTTCTGTAACCCTGTTTCTTGTGAGTGTATGTGAATTCACACCATGTTCTCAGAGCAGACAAGGAGCTCTGCCCTATGCTTCAGAAGTGGTGTGTCCTTTCAGAAATATGCTGTAATTATTTTTATACTGATCTTCCCAGACACTTTCCTGACCACAAAACTTAAAGGCCATAACTGTTGTCCCAGTTAATGTGTTTATGTTCTTTTTCTATAGTTTTGGTCAGTAGTCTTAGGTTGTATAGTCCAAGTAAATCCTGCTGTGTCCATCATTAAGAGTGCAGTAGGATTATTCTGAAGAACAGTTTTATATTTGTATTGAGAAATTCCATGGTAGTTTAACACTGAGACTGTCTGGGAGAAGAATTGGATGCTTCAGGGAATAGATTACCAAATTGCTAAATGGCACCTTTTTGGGGGTCTGAATTGAGTTAATTCACAGTATGAAATTGCAGTGCAGCTTGCAGATAATGCTGTCTTTTGAACAAGCATAAAAACCTTTACACTGACTGCTTCTGTAAGAGAATGGTGGTTATCTTTACACAACAGAAATACTCTTCAGTGCCGAATGCTTTTCAGCCCAAATGAGATTTACGCATGACAAGTGAGAACAAAAAAGCATAATGATTATACTGTAATTATACTTTGATAGATGCCATGAAATTTAAGGAGAGACTGTGACCTTACCACTGGAAAAGAAACAATCACAATCCTGAGAATTTCAGTGGAAATACTTCTTTGACTGAAATGAGTTATCCTAGGGAAAGATAGTCTGGTGTCTTTTTGGTGGTTTTAATAGAAATTCAGAATCAGTAGTGTGGCTCTTGTTAAGCTACCTCACTTGGAAATTCCTGCTCTCAGGATCATTGTGGGGAAGCTGAGAGACTGTTGGCTTTATGCAAATGAAAAGTGGTTCTCATGTCACTTCTTGGGCTGCAATCTGTGTGGCTGCTAGAAGCTGTAGTTCAGTGTGTCTTGCATTTTTCTGCTCTGTGGCAGGAAGGAGCAATTCCTGCAAATACAGGAACGTTTTTTTTCTGATTGCTGTATCTGTAAGAAGAAAGTAAATGCTTCCTTGCTATCTAGCCAAGGAAATACTTGCCTACCAGCCAATGTGGTTTCACAGGCATAAAGAAGTACCTCACTCTTGCAAAATAACCTGAATGCAGAACTGTGTGGAGGGGAGTTCTGCCCTTCACTTTGTCTGTGTGACCATTAAATCTAGAATAGCCATTTTGCACGATACACTCTGCTGACCAGTTGTAATGAAACAGCTTCATAAAGGGATGGAAACAAAAGCTATTGAAGATGAGAGCATCTCCAGTCTCCTTTTAGTGATAGACCTATGGTATTTAAATAATGCATTCTGCAGTGTTGGTTCAAACATTAGACTGAGCTAAATGAAAGACTACTAGAGATGGCTGAGTTGTTCGTGCAATCAGCAGGCACCATTCATGTTACAGGGGGTACCTCCACCTAAGATTTCTCAGGTGTAGTTTGAACAAGTGATTAACATTTCTGTTAGAATTCCTAAACTTATCTCAGGCTTCAGAGATGTATGTGAGAATCTTTGATGTTAAAGAAACATAATGTATCAAACTATGAAAGACAATATCTCTAATCTGGGTATTGAAGTTGTATGTCACCTGTAGTAGAGAAATACTGTTCAGAAATGAACCCAAAATACAGTAATTTTACTCTATTTCAAAATATGTTTAGATAAAGTATTGTTTCCTGACATCACCCTCACAAGGGGGAAGGAATGCAAGTGGTGAAAGGAATGCAGGGGAAGCTTCAGGAGGTGCTGTGAAGACAAAATTCAGCTACTCTGAATCATTTCATTGGGAAAAAAAAAATGTTACAGACTCACAGAATGTTTTGTGAGGGACCTTAAAGATCATCTAGTTCCAACTGGAAAAGATTGTAAGAGAGCTAATGACACATTGCCATGATGAGCAGTACAAGAGATACAAATGTTCTTAGTGACTCCTAATCCACCTGGTTTTGGCATTTGAAACTGGAAACAGGTGCAGAGGTGGAGTACAAGGGTGGTGTGGCACAAGAAGCTCTACACACAAGTAAGTACCTGCAATGAAAGCCTTAATGCTGGAATTTGCCAGTGCGCTGCATTTCCGCTGTGTGGTCAGTATGTAACTGCATGTTCCAGCCAAAAATTGGTGTCAGTTCACTTCTAAAGAACCTAACAGAAAATATTTTCATGTTGAAGACCAGCCCTCCTCCCTCTCTTTAAAAAAAAAATAATATATATATATATATAATTTTCAGGGACAAAAGAAGGGAGAGATGATTACGAAAGACAGCAGCAGAGAGGATCTTCTGTCTTAGCCAAGTTCTATCACAGATAATTCTGTCCCTAGCTCAGTTTAGGAGATTTAAATTTAATCCTATCCTGTTCTTTCTCCTGCCTGCTCCACACTTTAACTGAAAGTAGGAAACCCCTTAGGCACCTTAGAGACTGCAAAGCTAGTGGCTTCTCAGGTATCTGTAATGTTTCAATGAATTCTGCTATTTGTATTCTAGACCATGCCTCTCATGACTACAGGTTGTTTGCCTGTGCAGTAGAGCAGTATTTAACACATTTTAGCTTACTGTAATGTTCTTCACTGAGCCTCAGGTTAGAGGTTGAGAGCTGATACAGTATAAGGTGTACTCTCTGTCTTTAATAATGTTGAACTGCTAAATGCTGCTAACAGCAGTATCTGTTGCCAGAGCTGGCTGTACTTCACAAGAAGAGTCACTCCATTGTACGTTTTGCCTTTGCAGGCTGCCCTGAAGAAAGTTACTGAAACCTGAAATCTGGGGCACATACCCAGTGTGGAAGAAAAAATGAGATTTGCCTCCAGTCTGTCCAAGAGGAACAGAGCGTGATGCACTGCAAAGCTGCTCGGGCAGATTAATCTTTCCATTACGCATCTTACTGCTCATCCCTGAGGAAGGAAAAGGGAGTGCTGACCCTGTTCCTTGCTGGTCTTTTGCAGCAAAGGCAGGCAAGTGCAGTCCATTCACAGAAAAAACAGGTTTTTCCAGACAGGGATATCCCTGCACAGGGGCTGTTAAAAAATGCAGTCGTTGCCATGGATGGAATTATTTTTAACCTCACATGTGAAAAATGTTTCTCAACCGATGAGCATGGGTCAGGAGAGCAGAGAGCCGTGGGAGATCTCATTTACTTTGTAATATTTATAGCTTCCAGGTTGTTGATAGCACTAGATAAAATACGTTAGCTTTAGGATTTGGTAAACAACAAAAAGAGCTTGTTTTTAGCCGGTGCTGCACCATGCAATAAGCTGCCCGGTACAGAGTTCTATGTTTTGTTCATCAGGGAGATACCAGGGCAGTTACTGTGGCTGGAGGAGAGAGAAGAGCTGTAATTTGGTGGTGGTCCAGATCAGAAAGCTCAGCAAAACAAGAGCCTGCTCCTGTAGCTAGCAGTGATGGAGATGTACAAATGATAGCAAGGGCAAAAACTGTCTCTGAGAGGTTCCAAGGTGCGCATCCCTAGCACATTAACAGATCCCCATGAAGCACTTGTGCAGTGGGGTCTGACTCATGGGGGTGCTATCGCAGCAGTAATGAACTACGCAGTTCACATCATCCCTTCAGTGTATCAGCAGCAAGAGTCTTCATTTTTACAATCACTGGCTGAAAAAATTATATTCTCTTGGAGCTGGAATTGCCTGGCTTTTATTTCCTTGCAGACTATCCCAGCGCTTGGTGCTTTTCATTTCCAGTGTTGCTTGCTGTGATTCTTCAGATCAGCTGAAGAAAATCATAGGTGTATCCAGGTTGCTGTTATTTTCACTTGGATTTTGATTGCTGAAGTTGCTGATATGCTAGGTTGTAACTGAGTCAGAAACAACTGAAAAGGCACAGTTACATATTGGGAACAGCATCTCAGAGCAGCAGATTTTGACAACAGGGAAATCCTCCTCACAGTGTGTATTTGTAGCTTTGTCTCTAATGCTGAACTTCAGTTGAGTACATGTGTGCTGGGCACAGGGGCATCTATGCAGAAGGCGACTGGGATCAAACCCCACCTGCCTAAGCATGGCAGGATCAGTCCTGGTTTATCCATAGGAAACACTGACTTCCCCAGTGCTCAGCTCATAACTGGGACAATTGCAGTCAATAGCATTTGTTGTCCTCCTGTCGTCACAGTGCACATTGGTCTTATTCTTAGTAACGGCTAATCTCTTCTGTATGCTTACATCCAGAGATGGGGGACATGGGTTTGGGTTTTTCCTGACAGGATTTATTTGGAACGAGAGACAAAAGCCAGCCAGGCTTTGTCAGGCTTCACTGTGGCTTCCTTACTGAAAGTTGTTGCTTTACAATTCTTGTCTTGGCCTTTCTGATCTTAATCTGTGATGGACAGAAGATTTCAGCATGTCTGAGTGGATTAGAGACGTGACAGGCACCCCCCCAAATGTCCCGTTATCTCAACTGAGTGGTGCACATGGAGGCACAGAGTTTTGTTTAGAACAGAAGAATCTCCTGGCCCTGTTGTTAGAAGTTCACTGTTCTTTTACTGTCCTTGAGAAGCTGCAGTGACTCGCTGATGAGAAGGCTTTATAAAGCGCTGCCTTTCATGAATGCTGATGGGAGAAAACTAATTTGATGGATTTTTCCCTTATGCACGTGTCCACGCAGTCCTGAGCCTCAGTGTCACCCGCTGCATGCAGAATAAGCGTCTTCCTTTCTTCTGAATTAC